TGATCTGACGGTGAGTTTGGGTTGGCCCAATGCAAAAAGCGTGAGGATCCATGAGGATCCGTGATTCAAACCACGTTTTTGGTCCACGGAGTGGCCAGGAAGCCATGGATCCGTGATTTTTGTGGTGCAGGCTGTGCCCCTGACTATGATGTGTGATCTGACGGTGAGTTTGGGTTGGCCCAATGCAAAAAGCGTGAGGATCCATGAGGATCCGTGATTCAAACCACGTTTTTGGGCCGTGTTATGACCAGAAAGCTGTGGATCCGTGATTTTTGTGGTGCAAGTTGTATCCCTGGACATGATGTGTGATTTGACAATGAATTTGGTGTGGCCCAATGCAAAAAGCGTTAGGATCCGTGAGGATCCGACCTTCAAAACCACGTTTTTCGGCCATGCCGTTGCCAGATAACCGTGGATCTGAGTTTTCTGTGGTGTAGGCTGTGCCCCTGGACATGATGTGTGATTTGACAGTGAGTTTAGGGTAGCTCAATGCAAAAAGCGTGAGGATCCATGACGATCCGTGCTTCGAAACGACGTTTTCGGGCCATGGTGTGGCCAGGAAGTCGTGGATCCGTGATTTTATGGTGCAGGCTGTGCCCCTGGCCATGATGTGTGATTTGACAGTGATTTTGGGGTGGCCCAATGCAAAAAGCGTGAAGATCCATGAGGATTCGTGGTTCGGAACCAGGTTTTTGGGCCACGGTATGGCCAGGAAGCCGTGGATCCGTGATTTTTGTGGTGGATGTTGTGCCCCTCACCATGATGTTTGATCTGATGGTGACTTTGGGCTGGTCTTGTGCAAAATCATGAGGATCCATGAGGATCCGTGTGTTTTCACCTTGTTTTTGCGCCCCTGCGGCCCCACAAAATAGTGGATGCATGATTTTTTTGATGCTGTCTACAGAGTAAGACATGGTCTACAGTATCATGGTGGTTTTATTTAATTTGAATGAAAAAATCATATGAATTCACAAGGATCCGTGTAGATCCGCCTTTTACCTTTTCCCCATAGTTTGTGAGAGCCCTGCCTTCTTTGCCCCTATCAGAAGAATGTCTCTGCTGTCCCCTAAACCTACAAAGATCTCAGCACACAGAAACAGGCACTTACAAATCTTAATAAAAGGGTATTTGTTTTGGAACCATGGGATCCGTCCCTTTGGAATGACTATCCCATTTACTGCTGGCAAATAAGCAGAAAAGTTGGAGGAAGAGAATCCAAGGGTTGTTATTGCTCTGTTTCCAAGGGTGGTTCCAGATGCCCAGATTTCAGGTACATGCATGAGAAGGCTGCAAAGAGGAAGGAAAGAGAAGCAAACTCACCTGGAGCAGCCTGGGAAGAAGTCAATGGCAGGCTGGCCCCGCAAAGGAGTCCCACAAATGGTAAGAAGATCTTGGCCCACATTATAGGATTCAGTGTGAATGGCATGTGGGCCACCAGGCCTGCTTATATAGCATCCTGGGAGACTTTGGTGAGATATGTTTCCCATCAGTAGCTCCTCCCAGACAATCCAAGAAGAGGCTATTCTGTGAGGTTCTCAGAAAGTCCTTCCAGAAACTTGAGTGTAATTGGGATTTGTGGGAAATCCTTATAGCTATGGGGAAGTTCGCCTATTGTTATTGTTTAATTTGTATATTACCCATCATCATCAGATCACAGGCAGTTCAGAACTTAAATGTACAACATGAGAAAACAAAATATATATGTCTTTTTCTCTTATCTTCTTTAGAGGACAAGATGCAGAATTCGCAAAATGGAGAAGGAACATTGTGCCCTTAATTCTCTGCTGCCTTGTGATGAGGGAGCACTGATTGGCTAATGTTTGTCTGAGCCCCTTATTCTTGTACAACATCCCTATACAGTATGTGGAACTGGCACTTTTCCCAGTGCTATGTAAGGTACGTTCTGCACTTGAAAGGAATTGGTTCTTTCTGCAGTTGGCACCACCACTTTCTTGTTTAACTCTGGGATTTCTCCTCAGGCTTCTGGGTGAGCTTCATGGTGTCATTGATTCAGTCAGAGTAGGAAACTATCACCTGGCTGAAGGCCAAGAGGAAAACCTTGCTGCTGTCCTTTAATACTCGGGTGTTCACATGCTGACCCTCAGTGAGGGATATAGACAGAGGGCCTTCTCAGTAGTGGCACCCGCCCTGTGGAACGCCCTCCCACCAGATGTCAAGGAAATAAACAACTATCTGACTTTTAGAAGACATTTGAAGGCATCCGTGTTTAAGGAGGTTTTTAATGTTTGATATTTTATTGTACTTTTAATTCTGTTGGGAGCTGCCCAGGATGGCTGGGGAAGCCCAGCCTGATGGGTCGGGTATAAATTATGATTATTATGATTATTATTATTAATCCACTGAACAGAAACTTCACTTGTATTGAGCCCTGTGACCAAGCCGGTGAGCATTGTCTGTGTGAGGAGAAACTGAGCTTACAGGGTTAAACAGCTCAGAGTGTGCGTTCTGCCTATTGTGGGGCGGGGAGAGACTCTGCGTCACTTCATCACTTCGTCGAGTCTCAGTCCTTTGTTCTATTCTGCTTTCGTTTTCATGTGGAGTAGACGTGTCTCACGATGCTCTGTCCTGTGATAGATAATGGCTAGCTTCTGCTGTAAGCTGTAAATAAAGCTGCTTTTAGTTATTAGTACATCTGTGTGAGACTCTGTTTTGTGCACACTGAAGCACAGAAGACAGCAGCTGCTTTCTCTGGACGCTGCCAGACTCTGCTGTTTGCTCAGAGCATCGGAATGCAGGCTGTGAGGTAGAGACTTGGCACAGCTTTGGAAGCGGGCCGGACGCCAGGCTTATCTGGGCAATAAATCAATCTACAGTCTGTGCTTGCCGAAGGATGGTTTCTTCGCAATGCAATAGAAATTGGCATGGGGACCATTTGCCTTGTCTTTTTAAGTTTCCGGTGGGGGTAAGTATGAGACAAAGGAGAGGCAACAGTTATTAGATTTAGACATACCTGATGGACAGGCAGCATTTAGGAAATGGGGGTCTTGAAGGAAGGACAAGCAGGAGCATCTAGAAAGGACTATGATGACATTCTGATGAACACAGGAATTCTTGACAGGGTTATTCTGAAGGGTTTGCCTACTTTCTGTATTATTCATACATGCTTCACAGCAGCAGCACATTGTCTTTTTGCACTCCTTAAGTGTGTTATTTTTAAATATAAAGCAGCTTAGAAATGATTTTAACATCATTGAATGAAAAAATGCCTTGGATTCAAACCTCTGCTTTCCATCTCAGTCCTTCTTGCTTTTGTCTGCCATCCGTACTGCCACCCCTGTGATTTCCCTTCTCTCTGACCCTCTTTCCCATGCATATTTTCTTTTCTTGAATCGTGGAAAAGGGTCCCAAGGGTCATCTAGTCCAACCCCCTGCAAAGCAGGAATCTCAGCTAGCTACGTGGCTCCTTAATGTGTGGACTGGACCACCAGGGCCAGGATATGAAAATCTGCCTCCAACAGAACTGCACGACCTGTTCATCTAGGTCAACTGATGCTGGATAAACATGAACAACAGGCAGAAGTCACTGGTCAGCAAAATGAATTGTTGTCACTCCACTCACCTTTCCTTTTATAGGAAATGCTCTGCTGGGGGGGAGACACAAAAATCTGTGCTCGGGAGAGACTAAACCCTGGTGAGGAAGGATAGGCTAAGAGACAGTGACTAGCCGAAAGCCCCCCCAGTGAACTTCATGGTTATGTGCTAAACACACTTTGCTTCTACAATAATCAAACTTCAACACGATTTTGCAGGGAGAGTAATCCATTCCCCACTTCTTTCCAGAACCCACCCACCACCTCAATCAAGTGATCACATCAAGAGAGTGAGTTTGCTCACTTTTATTCAGCCTTAGGCCAAACATGGATACATGGAAATTATTTAATCTGGGATAGGCTGAAGAGGTTGTGATGCTGAGGATGGGGTTTGCATCACTTTTCACCCTGGGATGTCTCCTCAGGCCTCTGGGTGGGCTCCACGGTGCCTGCTGTGCGGGTAAACGTACAGGAGTATGAAGTGCCGTTGTTCCAGTCAGAGTAGGGGACTACCACCTGGCTGAGGGCCAAGAGGGAATCCTTGATGCTGCCCTTCAAGACTCGGGGATTCACATGGCGACCTTCAAGGAGGGCATTCTTCACCCACTGGACAGAAACTTCACTTGCATTGAGCCCTATGACCATGCCGGTGAGGATTGTCTGTGCTCGCTGAAGGCTGCTTTCTTTATGGTTGGCGCGATAGAGGTTCTCATGGAGACCCTTCCCTTTGTCTTTTAAGTTTTGGGGTGGGGAAAGTATGAGAGAAAGGGAGAGGCAACAGCTATTAAGTTTAGACATAATTGATAGACAACATTTATGACACCATTTAGTGCTGATTATTTTCTGTTGGATTCTCTGACCAACATTTTTAATCTGTAGATAGAGGGGTGTAAATCCTTAATGAAAGCTTTAAGGAGCAAAGGGGATTTAACTGAAGTTCTTGTGTGTGTGGACCTGAGTAGGAAGATCTGTGGCACATACATGGGGCTTCCTTGAGCTGGATGAGGACACGGTGGGATAGTGGAGATTCCAGGAATATTTACACAGCTCCTTCCCCCAACATGTATAAAGAAAGCGCCCAGCACAAAAAGCACCCCAGCCTTCCCAGAGAAGGTATTGGTGTATAGGCTGGGTTTGAAAACCAAGGATAGAAAAAAACTTCCCATATCCAATGATACCATCTCTGCAGAGTTGCTCTTGGAGCAGCTAACTAGGTACGGAGCTCCTTAAATGTGTGGACTTGGCCACCAGGGCAAGGATATAAAAATCTGCCTCCAATAGAAGGGCACCATCTGTTCATCTAGGTCACCCTATGCTGGGTAAACATGATCAACAGGCAGATGAAGGTTAGAAGGATCCTTGGCTGGAGGTGGGAATGGTTTTTAATGGGGGTGGAAATTATTGTGGGAGACACCTTGGCCCTTGCAGGGTACACATTCTTTCCTTTCCTTCTCCCATTGTTACTTTCAGATAAAAACATGCATTTAGTATTGTTCAAGAACGGTGAAAACCTTTCTGCAGAGATAAGAGGAGAATTACTGTTCAGACCTCCACCGGACTTATTCCAGTTTCAAGTTGTGTCTTTAGTCAATACTAGCACCGATATCATGGCAACTGGTGGGGAAAGTCTTATCTCAACAGGCCATAATGAAAAGCATAAATAAATTTCCCTAGAAGAGAACTTAATGGACCCAGATGGACACATTCCAAAAATAGGAATGAGAAGGACCCCTTTCTTGTTGTATGCTGATGACGCGGCCATCATCTCGCGTTCCAGACCGGGTTTGAATTATCTCTTGAGGAAATTTTCTGATTACTGTTCTGGAAATGGTTTATCCATTAATTATGAAAAATCTACAATTTTAGTCTTCGAAAGAAGATTCTCCCAGCCTAAATGGGTGCTGGATGGCCATAACCTTGAACAGGTAAAATACTTCAGTTACCTAGGGCTCACATTCCATCATACAGGATCTTGAAAGCACCATTGGCAAACCTCCCTTCAAAAGGCGGAGATTACAAAGCTAGCCATACATAGATTCTTCTTTAAAAAGGGAGGCAAATATGTTCCACCAGCCTTAAGGGTTTTCAACGCAAAGCCCGTTTCCCAACTCCTGTATGCAGCAAATGTCTGGCATAATGGGGACCTGCCAAAGCTAGATGGCTTTCAGGCAAAATTTATACGATCTCTGCTGCAGGTACCTAACTGCGTCCCCAACTCCGTACTTCTGTTGGAAGCTGGTGAATGCCCAATTTCAGCTAGAGCGTGGTGGGCTACCCTAAAACATTGGCTCAGGATTTCAGTGTTTAATCTAGGGAAGGGTCTGTACCAACATTTGACCAATGAGGAATTTGTCAGCAAATGGCAGAAAACCATGGCTAAAAAAGCCACCTCTATTGGTCTCTCTCCCCCCCCCCCCAACTGTATTACCTGGGTTATGAAGGCGCCCAAAAGGTTTTAAAGCAAAGATTATGGGACAATGCACACAGTGACTTGCGATCTCGATCACACGCAGTCTGTAGTCCGCTGGCAGCAGGAGTTCAATATGGGTATGTCTTTGAGTTAACATCTTACATCAAAAACCTGACAGTACCTAACTATCGAAGGCTTTTCACCAAAGCCAGACTAAATGTCTTCCCCTCTGCAGTGCTGGATGGTAGGTTGAGAGGAGTTCCCTACCAGGACAGACTTTGCTCGTGTGCTCAAGACATCGATTCCATAAATCATATTTTGTTGCACTGTGCGAAGTATGAGCAGGCCAGGGCTGAACTGATACTACCCTTGCTGGTGCCTTTCCCGGGAAAATCAGAGGCTCACTATGTCAGGTCCCTACTGGAAGACCGGACAAAAGCTAGAACGCTGGCTGCGGCAAAGTTTTTATCGGTGGTTGCAAGAACAAATGAGCCCTATATTCTAAACAAAATGCTTGATTAACCTGGAGGTAGGCTGTATGAATTGTGTATTGATTTGTAATGTTTTGTTGGGTCTCTGGACCGTAATAAAGATTGTTGTTGTTGAAATAAATTTCTGAATTAAGGAGGAAGCAGTCTTGAAATGATCAGTCCCTGAGACGATTTTAAGCAATCTGGAAACAATCATCCCTCTCCCAAACCATGCTTTTCAAAGGAAAACTACGTCCCAACTGTGTTGAGAGTTTTTACCTTCAGGTTCATTGACATTTGTTTTGGACCCAGGGAGGGATGCTCGACAGACGAACTTCAGCTGAAATTCATCTGCGAAAGTTCTTGGGTTCACCTGCGAAACGGGTAGTACTTCAGCGCTGAAGTAAGCTGTGCTACCAATGCGTGCACTTATGACACTGGAGGTGTTACCTGATTGGCCACCTGCCTGCCACGTAATCATCATGCCTTCGGGGACAGAGCCAGAGGCAGTGCACACCAATATTGCACCTAAGGGAACAAAATAGATAGACAGACAGACAGACAGATGAAATTCCTGGTTTTTTAATGACTTTATATTACTGTTTTTATGGTTTTTCTGATATTGCTTTAGTTTTTATGTTGCTTAGTGCACTGTTTAAGATTTAAGCAGCTTAGAAATGATTTAAAAATCAGCAAATGAATAAATGCCGTAGGTTAAAACCTCTGCTTTTCATCTCACTCCTTCCAGTCTTGCTTTTGTCGGCCATCTGTTCTTCTCTACACCCCTGTGTTTTTCCTTCTCTCTGACCCTCTTTCCCATGCATATTCTCTTTTCGTGGAATCATAGAATTCTAGAATTGGAAGGGACCCCAATGCTCATCTAGTCCAACCCCCTGTAATGCTTACTTACTTACTTCATCAAAACTTTTCTAGGCATTACAAATATAGGGCATCCTAAAACATTTAAAATATATACAAATAAACAGCCATGTAAAATATATAATGATGAGGAATTTCATTGGGATTTCTTCCTGCTAAATAGTGCCATTTAGCACTCCAAGAGATACTATTAAAAAAACCTCAGCCCCCCTTGCAGTTTATTCCGGGTTAATCGGATATTTTCATTGTGCCGTGATGTTAGACTACCCAAAAAAAGGGGGGGGCATGCGTTTGCTTAGCAGGTTGTAAAATGGACAGTAGAAAAGGATATGTTCTACAGTGTCTGGCACATTCAAAGAACATCCACAATGTCTATCATTTCTGGGGATGTTTAAAAATCTGCCTTTGACAAAAGCTGAAGGAAAAACATTCAGTCGGGCTACAATAAAGGTCCTGAGTTGGACAGAAATTATTATTTTTGAGATATGTGACCCTTTTATCTCGGGAGAGCAAATTATATGTACAGCTGACTTGATGTTGTTTCCCCAATGTACCTTAATCTGGTTTGACTATTGCAATAAATATATTGCTCACTCAAATTATACAAGGGTTTCAAAATCTGATTTGAATACCAATAGATCTGATTTTCCTATGTAAGAGTTCCTATGTAAGGTTGGCAAGAAAATGGAAATGCAACCAGTATTTTATAGTGCTAGCCCACACCCAATATTCCATCGTGTGTATACCTCGTTCTGCACACATTGTCTCATACATGATTGAACTTGGGAGCCCCAGGAGACGTCTCAAGACGGATGTGAGGGTGATCCGACTGAGACATCTGTCACCCCATTGCCAGGGCTCATCTGGCTGGCCTGGCTGGCTACGCAGGTGTCCCCCTGTTTCATGTGTGTCCCTCCCTAAGCTGCATGTTCAGTGGAAGAAGACGATCATCCCAGGTAGAAAGAGTGTACCGTTCTTCGGTCAAGGCTTGATGATAGCTGCGCTCCCTGTATAGATAGAACCTCCCTGATAGCACCTCCTCTGTAATGCAGGAATCTCAGCTAAATAATTTCAGCTACATAGTTTGTGAGAGCCCTGCCTTCTTTGCCCCATCAGAAGATTGTCTCTTCTGTCCCCTAAACCTACAAAGACCTCAGCACACAGAAACAAGCACGTTTGTTGTTTAGTAGTTTGGTTGTGTCCGACTCTTCGTGACCCCATGAACCAGAGCACGCCAGGCACTCCTATCTTCCACTGCCTCCCGCAGTTTGGTCAAATTCATGCTGGTAGCTTTGAGAACACTGTCCAACCATCTCTTCTTCTGTCGTCCCCCTTTCCTTGTGCCCTCCATCTTTCCCAACATCAGGGTCTTTTCCAGGGAGTCTTCTCTTCTCATGAGGTGGCCAAAGTATTGGAGCCTCAGCTTCACGATCTGTCCTTCCAGTGAGCACTCAGGGCTGATTTCCTTAAGAATGGATAGGTTTGATCTTCTTGCAGTCCATGGGACTCTCAAGAGTCTCCTCTAACAGGCACTTACAAATCTTAATAAAAGGGTTTTGGAACCATGGGATCTGTCCCTTTGGAATGACTATCCTGTTTACTGCTGGCAAATAAGCAGAAAAGTTGGAGTAAGAGAATCCAAGGGTTGTTATTGCTCTGTTTCTAAGGGTGGTTCCAGATGCTCAGATTTCAGGTAGATGCATGAGAAGGCTGCATAGAGGATGGAAAGAGAAGCAAACTCACCTGTATCAGCCTGGGAAGAAGTCAGTGGCAGGCTGGCCCCGCAAAGGAGTCCCACAAATGGTAAGAAGATCTTGGCCCACATTTTAGGATTCAGTGTGAATGGCATGTGGGCCACCAGGCCTGCTTATATAGCATCCTGGGAGACTTTGTTTCCCATCAGTAGCTCCACCCAAACAATCCAAGAAGAGGCTATTCTGTGAGGTTCTCAGAAAGTCCTTCCAGAAACTTGAGTGTAATTGGGATTTGTGGGAAATCCTAATAGCTATGGGGAAGTTCTCCTTTGTTATTATTTGTTATTGTTATTATTATTTGTATACCACCCTTCATCAGCAGATCACAGGCAGTTCAGAACATAAAAGTACAACATGAGAACACAATATATATAATCATCTTCCTTTATCTTCTTTAGAGGACAAGATGCAGAATTAGCAAAATGGTGAAGGAACACTGTGACCTTAATTCTCTGCTGCCTTGTGGCTATTCTTATTAGTGAGAGGGGTTTTCACGGTAAACCTCAAGGAGTAACATACACCTCAACTGCCTTTATTTTTCTGGGACTGCCAGGGAAGCAATTAACCCAGCACAGATTCTTCATTTGTCTGGAAATTTCCAGATTTAAGCTGCTGTTAAAGGGTCAATTGGCTTGCAGCTACCTTTCACTTTTAGCATAGCAGCAATTTTGCCCATGTCCCTTCTAAAGGTCACTTGGCTCCCCATCTTCCATATGCACCAACCAGTCATTGAGATGGGGGGGAGGGGGTCCGGCTTGCACCACGAGTCAATTGTGGTCACCCCTTGCTACCCTCAACGGGGAGCGAGGAGGTTCGGGCAGGGGAAAACCAGGATTTATGAGGCAAAGATTCTGGCAATGTTCCCCATTATGGTCTGTGGAGTTCACTGCATCCCACTGCGCCACTCAAGTCTATGTCTGCCATCTTGAAGGGCAGAACGGGTGCATCCTGGGAGTGTGTCCCTGGCATGGACGTGTCTCAGTCTCTGGCACGATTTGTGCTGGGTTCCTTAATCTGTGTCAGGTTTCCGTGAATTCTGACCCTCCCCCCTCTGATAGAAGACAGTCAAGGTTGAATGGACTTTATTTCAAATTATTTTTGGATCAGACGAGGAGTGTGATGGAGCAATACAGAGCAAGAGGAATGAACGGTTGCCGAATAGATCTGGCAAGATGCTGAATTTGAGAAAAGATTTTGTGTGTCGAGGAAGAACTCCAGAGCGGAATTTTAATGGTGGAGACTGGACAAGTACTTAAGGTCACAATTCAGTACGGTAGTTGGTAAATAGTGGAAGGAATGGAATGTGACCTTGTACTATCCAGATAAACACTGCAAAGAACTGAACAATGGAAGATAGTTATTAACTCTCCTAGCACACCAGGTCTGAAACAACAATGTACATTAAGGGTTACACACGTGAAATGCAACAGAGGCGCTGTTTGTAAGGAGGAAACATGTGGTCAGCTGCAAGAATGATGTAACGGAGAGTGACAGATGACAACTGGACACTAAAAAAGAAATGGGAGGAAACGATTGACATATGTTTGCAACAGGAGCAGGAAACCTGATTTTAAGAAATTGTATTAAATTTAAGTAATTTGGTAGGATTTGTAATAACTAGGAAAATTTAAAAAAAAATTTAAAAGAGAGAGAGATGGGGATGGTCTTGACGTCACAATGCACACAAGTTGGTAGGAATCAGGGGCTGTGAATGAACTGCGTCTACAAGAGCACTAGCCAGATGCTGGGCAAGATCTATGACTCCCTGCTGGACCTTCCTGTGGACCTGCAGGTGGCCCACACCCTGGTGGTGGTCTCTATCACTATTCTGCCCTGGACCTCCTTGTGGCCATCTCATAAAATACATGAAAAAAAACAAAAACAACCTAATAACTACCCACGCCCAACACATTTTAGAAGGGCATTGGATTGCAATCAACCAAATGTCTGGTTAAAGAGGAGCATTTTTGCCAGGCGCATAAATGTGTATTATGATGGTGCCAGGTGAACCTCTCTGGGGAGAGCATCACTCAAACAGGAAGCTGCTGCAGAAAAGGCCCGTTCTGATTTTGCCACAAAGAAGTGCCTCAAAAGATGATTTCAGGGTCCATGTAGTTTCATATGGAAAGAGGTGGTGCTTGAGATTATTGTGGTCCTGAGCAATTTGAGGCTTTATAGGTCAAAACCAACAGTTTGAATTGGGCCCAGAAAATAATTGGTAGCCAGTGCCGTCAAACCAGGTTCGGTGTAATATGCTCAAATTGTCTTGCCCTGGTGAGCAACCTGGCCGCTGAATTCTGCTCTAGCTGAAGTTTCTGAACCGTCTTCAGAGGCAACCCTACATGTAATGTATTGCAGTAATCTAACCTTGAAGTTACCAGAGCATAGGCAACAGTAGTTAGGCTATCCCTGTCCTGCTAAGCATGTAGCTGGTACATCAGCCGAAGCTTGATGGAAGGCACTTTGCGCAACTGAGACCACCTGAATAACAGGCACACATTTCCCCTATCTCTCCTGACAGAGGTCATCGTACAGGGCGACCAAAGCAGTTTCTGTGGCAAAATCGGACCTAAACCCTGACTGAAATGGATCTAGAAGTTTCCTCCAAGAGTGCCTGGATCAGGTCTGCGACCACCTGCTCCACAACGTTGCTCAGGAAAGGGAGATTAGCAACTGGCTGGAAGTTAGTTAGATTTTCCTCAGCCTCTTGGGAGTTGTCTCCCATGGGAGAGGTGAAGACCAGGAGTGTTTTCAGAGGCTGCAGAACCTGGCAGGACAGGAGAGGGGAGAGAGCACTTTCAAAATATGAGTCCACCTGCTGTGAGGCTGGAAGTGGTGTGGCTCTCTCCCCTTCCCTTCATATTCCCTCTCCAAATTCCTCCCCATACTGCATTTTTGTACCTCCTGGGAATATCCCTCATGGATGCAGTTTAGGACTTTCCATGCCTTTGCTCAGCAGAGTTTCTTTTTCAATGAGAAAAAAAATAAGTGGCTCACGTAAACAACAACAACTTAACAACGACAACATATTATTTATACCCCCCCCATCTGGCTGGGCTTCCCCAGCCACTCTGGGCGGCTTCCAACAGAATATTAAAATACAATAGTCTATTAAACATTAAAAGCTTCCCTAAACAGGGCTGCCTTCAGATGTCTTCTAAAAGTCTGGTAGTTGTTGTTCTCTTTGACATCTGGTGGGAGGCCATTCCACAGGGCGGGTGCCACTACCGAGAAGGTCCTCTGCCTTGTTCCCTGTAACTTGGCTTCTCACAGCGAGAGAACCACCAGAAGGCCCTCGGCACTGGACCTCAGTGTCCGGGCAGAACGATGGGGGTGGAAACGCTCCTTCAGGTATACTGGACTGAGGCTGTGTCAGCACCAACACTTGGAATTGTGCTCGGAAACGTACTGGGAGCCAGTGTAGGTCTTTCAAGACCGGTGTCATGTGGTCTCGGCGGCTGCTCCCATTCACCCATCTAGCTGCCGCATTCTGGATTAGTTGTGGTTTCCGGGTCACCTTCAAAGGTAGCCCCACGTAGAGCGCATTGCAGTAGTCCAAACGAGAGATAACTAGAGCATGCAGCACTCTGGTGAGACAGTCTGCGGGCAGGTAGAGTCTCAGCCTGCATACCAGATGGAGCTAGTAAACAGCTGCCCTGGACACAGAAATGACCTGCGCCTCCATAGACAGCTGTGAGTCCAGAACGACTCCCAGGCTGCGCACCTGGTCCTTCAGGGGGCACAGTCAGGACCAGGGAGTCCCCACACCCGCCCGCCTCCTGTCCCCCCAAAATAGTACTTCTGTCTTGTCAGGATCCAACCTCAATCTGTTAGCTGTCATCTATCCTCCAATCGCCTCCAGGCACTCACACAGGACCTTCACTGGTTCTGATTTGAAAGAGAGGTAGAGCTGGGTATCATCCGCATATTGATGAACACCCAACCCCAACCCCCTGATGATCTCTCCCAGTGGCTGCATGTAGACGTTGAAAAGTATGGGGGAGAGGACAGAACCTGAGGCACCCCACAAGTGAGAGCCCAGGGGTCTGAACACTCATCCCCCCCCCACAGGAAGTGATCTGACCATCTAAACAAAGCTTTAATAATAATGAAAACTGTCATAAATGAAACTAAATACAACAACATGAGGCAAGTCTGAGGCAAGAAAACAAGAAGAGGCAGTTGGTCCCTCTTAAGTAAACAATAATGGAACCCACTGAAGGGAGAGGCTGATTCTGGAGCAAAACACACAAGTCCCGCCCACTGGATACCAAGCACTCTGCTATTCAAATAGTAGTTTTTTCTTACAATCCCCTTCTCACTGTGTCTAATTTGAATTAATCAATTTTAATTTAGCATGTAAAATGGCAAAACATTCTTATTTAAACATTCAAACATTGTACAATCTTGTTTGTTCTCAGTATACAAAATTATATCATCTATCTTGCTTTATACCTTTATACGTTTCCATCCTCATCTAACTTTTTCTCAAACACCCATTTGCACCCTGTAGCCCTTTGGCAATTAAGTAAGTGTCCAAGTGTTTTCATTCAATGCTTCAATTTCTTTCTTGGCTGCATCTATCCACTTGGCAGCTTCTTCTGCAGGAAGTTTCTTGATGTCTTTCCATGTGTCAGGTTCACAATTAGCTACTGCTCTTGTGGTGTATGATAGTCGCTCTGCTGACACGCCTTTGTTAATTCGTGATGAGCATCTAATTAAAGGTTCTAATTGTTCTTCCATTTCATCACACACAGTTCCTTGTCCTGACTCTGTTCCCCCTTGTGCTGGTAAATTCTCTGTACTTGGACTAGTTTTCTCTGTTCTTTCAACTTCTGAGATCAGTTTTACTGGAACCTCTTCAGTTGCTGAATCAGCATCAGTCTGTTCCTCTTTGTTCTTATTAGGAACACATGCAAAGATTTCTCTCCTCAAAAATATACTAGGCTTCTGACTTTTACTTCTCTTGTCTATGGATTAAGAATTCTGTAACCTTTGCAACCCTTCTCAAAACTGACAAATATTCCTAACTCAGTCCTGGTGCTAGGTTTGGTACGTCTTTGTGCTGGCACATATGCAAAAACCTTTGAACCAAAGACTCTAACGTGACAGATGTTCAGTACTCTTCTAAACCAAAGTTCAAATGCTGTTTTATTTGTAGCTTTTGTTGGCAGTCTGCTCTGCCAATATGTTGCTGTCATCAGTCCCTCACCTCAATATTCAAATGATAAATTAGACTCTGTCAACATACCCGACCATCTCTATCAGAGGGCGATTTTTTCTCTTCGCTTTGCATTTTGGTCTGTAGTAAATGGGGTAGTATGCAAATGTTTAATACCATTTTCATCTAGATAAGATTTGATGTGATATGACATGTACTCATCACCATTCTCTGAAAGTATTGCTTGTGGCTATCTCCCGAATTGATTTTCAACACTTGCATCTCCAATTTCTCTGCAGTTTCTGTTTTTTTGTTTTAAATATAAGTTGTGCAGTATCTGGAATAATTGTCAATAAACAATACATACTTACATTTCCCATGAGACATTGTTTGAATTGGACCACATATATCAGTATGAATAAGTTGCAAAGGCTCTGTTGAACTTCTATGGCTTTGCTTGGGGACAGAAGGTCTTCTTCCCTTCCCCAACAAACAATATTCACATATTTCACTTTTCAGGTCAACTTGGGTCCCTTCCAACTCAACTTTACAAGGTTTAATTTCCATTCCTCTCACCAAACCTTTCTTTGGCAGGTCTGCTATTATCCTGAATTCTCTATGCCCAAGCCTTTTGTGCCACAGTTGAACACAGGCTGCACTTGAATTCTTCTTAACCGTATTTCTTGACCTGTATCTAGCACAAATACTCCATTATTTCCAAAACCTTATGCACACAAAACTCCATCTTTGGTAATCACACATCTGTTGCTATTAAAATTTACATTTAAACCACGCTTGGTCAGAGTTGACACACTCAGAAAACCGTCTGTTAATTCTGTTAAGTAAACTACATTTCTCACTTCATTACAAACCATTTTTCTGCCTGCAACACACTTGAGCAAACCTGCTCCTTTTCATTTACACAGAAACTTTGTGGCCAGTTACAGCTGTAGCTGTCTCTGATGAGTTTTCATTTAACTCTCTGAAAAAAAAAACAGCATCACACAACATGTGCATTGAAGCTGCTGAATCAATTAACCAACTACAGTGGTGCCTCGCAAGACGAAATTAATCCGTTCCGCGAGAGTCTTCGTCTAGCGGTTTTTTAGTCTTGCGAAGCAAGCCCCTTGACGGATTAGCGCTATTAGCGCTATTAGCGGTTTATCGGCTATTAAATGCTTAAAGGCGTAGGGGATTAGCTGCTAAAAGGCTATTAACGGCTATTAAAGGTTTAGCAGATTAGATAAAGGGGGGGGGGAGCGAAAAAAAAATCTCAAGACTCGCAAGGTATTTTCGTCTTGCGAAGCAAGCCCATAGGGGAATTCGTCCTGCGAAGCAACTTCAAAACGGAAAACCCTTTCGTCTAGCGGTTTTTCCGTCTTGCGAGGCATTCGTCTTGCGGGGCACCACTGTAGTAGAATTGCTGTAAATAGCACCAGTTTTCCGGCCAGATAGTTTTGATGAACTGCAAAAGCATTTTTAGTTTGTTTTCTGTTGCCACCCTGGAACTTTTCTTTAATCGTGCCACTCTGTTTTGTACAATTCCTTGAAGAATGTCTTATTTTCCGACAGGAGAAGCATCTAGTTTTGTCACTTTTATCTACACTTTGTAAAGCAGTTTTATTTTTAAAATTATACTTATCAGTCTTTTGTACAGCAAATACTTGCGCTTCACATTCTTTTGTCTTTTCGGCTCTCCTAGCAGCCTCCTCCTTAAGTCTTGATACAACATTTTTCATATCAAGTTTATATTTAGTCTCTAGTGCACTTTGTCCTCTTCTTCAAATTTCTTGCCTATAGTATTTAAACGATCTCTCAACTCTGTCACTTGACTTGGATGCTTTTCTAAATCTCCATTTTCTTTAAATTTTATATTAAAAATCTTTCTTGATAGATACTGTCTCTTATTCAGAGTGTTTCTCTCATACAACTCTTTCAGACCTTGCCACAACTCTTTGGCAGTCTTAAAATCTCTTACGTGGTGCAAGTCACTGTCACTCACATAAGTTGAAACTTCTGCTCTCGCCTTTCTGTCCTGCTTTTCTGACTTTACTTTTTCTGCCTCTTCTGCTGGTGCAGATTTTTCAATTGTTGCTCACAAATCCTTTTTCACCAGCTCATTCTTCATCGAAATCTCCATAAAGGATAGTTGCTTGAAGTGAGTGTCATGAGACAAAGGTTCCTGAGAGCAGAAGCAGGCAAGGCCTAGGCAGTGCGGCCTACAAGGCCTACACAAGCCTAACTGTTAGCAGTAAAATGCTGTGTCGCTGTGACTCATGACTCATTTCCCCTATAAATGTAACCAGCCATCTCTGTGGGCCGCAGGGTAGTGTGTGTGTGTGTGTCTCCGGCAGTATGTTCTGTTGTTGCAGACAGAGCAGCTCCAGGACTACAGTTAATCAGTAATCAAGATCTGTGCCTCTGTGAAGACTAAGCTAGCTATTATGAGCACTCTGTGTATGCTTTTTGACTATGCTGTTTATGAACAAGTTTATTTTCTTCAGTAAAGCTTTATTCTGCTTATGAAGAAGACTCTGCTTGATTAATGTACCGCTGTGCAACAGTGAGAACAGGGACAGCAGGCTCAAGGGTTTTCACAGCTTTTATATACATGGCCATAATTTTTTCCTCTCTACGTCAGACTGTGCTCATAACCCAATTGTTTTGGAGGTGGGGGATGTTTTACAAAATGAATCCTCCTGGCAAACTGGGAATATCCCCTCACGCAGTTCAGGACATTCAACACTTTTCCTTAGCAGAGTTTCCTTTGCTATGAGAAAAAATAAGTAGCTCACATAAATGTAAACTAAGCTTTAATGATAAAGAAAACTGCCATAATGAGAGAAACTAGATACAGTGGTGCCCCGCAAGACGAATGCCTCGCAAGACGGAAAACCCGCTAGACGAAAGGGTTTTTCGTTTTTGAGTTGCTTCGCAGGACGAATTTCCCTATGGGCTTGCTTCGCAAGACGAAAATGTCTTGCGAGTCTTGAGATTTTTTCGCTTTCCCATTTTTCTAAGCCGCTAAGCCGCTAATAGCCTTTTAGCAGCTAAGCCGCTAAGCCTTTAATAGCCGCTAAACCGCTAATAGCGCTAAGCCGCTAATAGGGTTGCTTCGCAAGACGAAAAAACCGCTAGACGAAGAGACTCGCGGAACGGATTAATTTCGTCTTGCGAGGCACCACTGTACAACAACATGAGGCATGTCTGAGGCAAGAAAACAAGAAGAGGCAGGACTTCCGGAGGTGGCGCCAACGGCAATGGCGGAATCCCTCTAACTTAGAGGGAGATCGCTCCACAGAAATCGGGTCTAAAACCGCTTCGGCGCAGCGGGGACCCTTCAAACCACAGGCGGGTGAAGCCTGTGACCCTGGGACTCGGCGGGCACTGTTTGCGCCCCCCCGGTCTGCAAAGGAACCCGGCAACGGGCTCCGAAACAGAGCGGGGAAGTGAAGGCGCTGTGCTGTGAGTCGTCTGCTTCTTTGTGGAGTGAAGCCGCGTAGCTGTTGCCGGAGAGCGCTGCCTTTTTTCCTGGACAATTTGGACTTTTAAACAAATATCCGTGAGTACCCAGAATTTGGACAAATTGGGATATTAAAGGAAGATTAGTGAAAAGGGCAGAATTGGACTACAAAAAGAAAGAAAAATTGATTGAATTTGGTACGGAGCGGTAAGGGCTAAACAGGAAGTCACCCTTCCGTTCTTTTGTAAACATAACAAAGCAAAGTTAAATTGTACTAGAGCTTTGAAAACTGCTTTTAAAAGAGTGGAATCCAACATTTTAAATTGGGAATACTATTTTTGGACTATTTGAAGCAGTAAAAGGAAGTTATCTTCGTCCTGATCCTGGAGCGGGAAGTCAGGACTGACGTGAACAAATCAAGGTATCTGTGTGTGTCAGATGGTTAAAAGAAGAAAATTTTTGTGACTCTATTGTTCCCTTTCGTACTTTAAACGAATATATAAGGATAAAGGATTTTAGGTAACATGGAAATGTATCAGAAAGAAATATAAGTCTTCCCCTTAGGGGGAGCTTTAGAAACTGTAACTAAATGCCAAGGACTTGATAGTTGTTACAAAGAACCGTGGGAGAGTGCAACAATGTTTTCAGAAGCTGTGGTTCGCCTGCTCAAAGAAACAAATATTCTACTGGAAGAACTACATGATAAGGTGAACCAGATGGCCAAGTCGACTGGAAATCTCGGACTGGCAGTGGAAGGCGTTGATCAAACTGTGGGAATAGATGTGGAGTCTATCCAGGACTCAAACCAGGAGTGTGTTTTGACAGAACAGGGGTTTGTGGCATTAAATCAGGAGTGTGGCTTGACAGAACAGCCTCAACAGGAGCTTGACCCTTCGGACTTCATAATTGAATTTGGAAATTCAGTAACAGGCTGCGACATGTTTGGAAATGTGGGGGTCCACAAATTTGGGGGGGCCCTTGAAGTATGCTCTTAAATACTATATGGAATGCAGTGATGAACAGGGGAAAGGATCTGATCTGATGAGAAGGGTTAAAAGCATTATTAAGTTGGAGCTACTACGAGCAAGTGACTACAGCCACAAATATGAAGAAAAGTTGCGGAAGGGCCATGGAAGTGACTTGAGGGCCTCGGACATAAGGTCACCGGGTTAGTTTGATTAATAAGGACTGACAAATCCCGAAACCAGGAGGAAGGGACGTTGGATTAAGATTGGACTTGATTATATGCTTCTTTCTCCTTTTTTGTTTTTTTATTGTTTTTTTAATTAATAGAATGTTTTATAAAGCTGATGAATGATAGAATGAGAGAAAAATGAATGATAGGAAAATGTTGGAAGAATTTACCTGGCTTTAGCAAAAAGGTAAAGAATTATGAAAGAACATTATGAATATAAGAAGTGGGTAAAGTCAAGATCTAAATTTTAAATTTTAAAGTTTATTTTATAATAGAAGGAAAGGATTTGTGAAAGAACATTATGAATATAAGAAGTTGGTATAATTAAGATTTAAATTTTAAATTGTAAGGTTTATCATATAATAGAAAAATGGAAAGGATTTGCTGGGATAATTAATAACTAGAATACAAAGGAAGGGAGGAGGAGGAGGTCTAATGTTTTTTCTTCTTTACTATTATCTTTTTCTGTATTTCTTACTTTTTATATTTTTATTTTATTTTTACTTTTGTATTTTTTTCATATTGTGTGTAAGTTTTTGTATCTCTTATTTTTTGCTTTTGTGTAATTTTTGTATTTTTTCTGTTTTCTTTTGAAATCTCAATAAATATTATTATTAAAAAAAAAAGAAAAAGAAAGAAAAAAAGAAGAAGAAAAAAAAAGAAAACAAGAAGAGGCAGTTGGTCCCTCTTAACTGACACTCTTAACTGAACAATAATGGAACCCACTAAATCCAAAGAATGAATAAATGCTAGGGTTTTGATTAATTGGGATATGAATTAAAGTACAAGATGCAGATGGCATGCATATTTATGGTACAACAAAGCAAAGGCCCATAATGCTTTTAAAAATCACGTAATTAGGAAATCTCTGTACAATGTATGGATAAAATATAAATATCTCTTAGAAAGGAAGACACCCAGATGGCTTTCACCAATGGAGGCGAAGGCCCAGAAAAAGTTAAATATGGACATCAAGTGGTTGAGGTATTCAGATTTATTGTTGGAGGATAAAGAAGGTTATAAAATAAAACCATTTGATCAAGTTAAAGACAAGATAAATTGGTTACATTATCACCATGTAGCCTTATGAGGCTTTGCCCTTGGGTGGGAAAAATATTGCGCCTGGGAAAGGGAAGTGGGAGTCAACAGACACTCAAGGAATAGTTTCGGAGAAAAGGCTTTTATTTCTACCATCCATGAAGTGGTAGAAGGAGCAAGTGTGATAAGTCACAAAAAGCATGCACGAAGTTCACAGTCATGTGCACAAGCATATATACCCATTTCCAGTTCCCTCCCCCTTTCCAGAGTCCTGCCCCATGAGTTCCTCTGAGCATGAACAGAAAGCTGTCTTGGGACTATTGGGACTCTTGGCAGGAAAGGGGGTGAGGGGGTTTTCAGAGTGTTCCCGTTGTTTCATTCTTGTGCTTTGGCATGGTTCCCGGAGAGAAAGCAAGTTGCAATGTGGTTCTTTAGCAAGGCCAGAAGACATGAGAAAGGCCTGAGAAACAATGGACTGTTCTCTACCTTTGTTACAGCAGAGCGGAATGTTTCTGATGCTTAGCTGCTGAGAAAATGAAAAGCTTTGAGAAGCTTTGAGCCTGCTTTGGTGGGGGGTGACTTCGGGCCTAGGTGAGGTCACCTGTCCTCCTTTGGTGAGGGGTGACTTCGGGCATAGGTGAGGTCACCTGTCCTCACCTTCCTTCAACCAGATTAATGAATTGTTCAAAATAGATAGGAAATAGATAGGAAAAGTGGTTTTGCTTCAGAAAATCCAAGTTGGAAACGGAGTTGTTGGATTCTAAAGTTAAAAATTTGTCTAAAATGTATAACTTATTGTTGGAGTGGCATACAAAAGATGAACAAGTTAAATCAGTGATGATAGACTGGGCAAGAGATGTGGGACATAACATAATATTTGAAGACTGGGAAAGAATGTGGAAGAAAGGGGTCAAGTTCACTGCATGTACGGGGTTAAAGAAAAATATAATGAAAATGATGTATAGATGGTATTTGACTCCTGTAAAATTAGCAAAGATTTACCATAACAGTGATAATCTATGTTGGAAATGTAAAGAGAAGGAGGGTACTTTCTATCATATGTGGTGGACCTGCCCCAAGGTGAAAGACTTCTGGGAGAAAATTTATAATGAATTGAAAAAAATGTTGAAATATACATTTATTAAGAAACCAAAGGCCTTTCTTCTTGGAATAATAGGTTTGGAATTGCCCAAGAAAGATGTTAAATTATTTTTGTATGCCACAACCGCTGCTCGAATTCTACTAGCTAGGAATTGGAAAACACAAGAAGTTCCAACAGCGGAAGATTGGCAGATGAAGATGATGGACTTTTTGGAGCTAGCCGACCTGACTGGAAGAGTCCGTGACCAGAAGGAGGAGGATTACCAGGAAGAGTGGATGAAATTTAAAGACTATTTAGTTAAGTTAATTTAACTGGAAAAGCTTGCAAATACCAGATAGGCTTAGGATTTAAATATGTAATGTGATGAATTAATATGTTTAATGCTGAATTGGAAAGAAATAAAGATGTTAAGTGATTAAGTTAATTTTCTAAGAGTTTAGGTTTTGGAAAACAGTTAAAATGATATACACTGAAATTCAACCAGGGGTGTAGTAAAGTTAGTGTTGTTTAAGAGCTGTTCCTTGGTCAAGCAATGAGAGTGAGGCCTTGTGGGTAACCAACAAGCCACAAGGACCATGGGAAATAAGTTCTGTCCCTTTAACCCCAGACTAACAGGCACCCAGGGTGTGAAAGGTTTATTATGGGAAAGGAAACCCCTGATTTAATGGAAGGTTTGACACCTGGCTCCGAAGTTCTGTGCATTCCCTTAGTGATGTTATCTGGCCTTGATTGCCTGGGAATGTGCATCTGCAGAGGATCCACGGAAGGGAGGAAACCCCTTTGATTTAGGCTCTGGGTTCTTAACTGGCCCAGCTGCCAGAAGTTAGATTGATTAGCCCGCAAGCCGGTCATTGGAGAATTTAAAAATAATCAAGAGTTATGATTGGTTTCGGGGGTTCCGATGCCACGTGCAAATCGGGGATAAAAGATCTTGGGAATGGCTGAGAAAGTGCGCTCTGCAATCCGCAAACCTCCCGGCTGCTGATGTTCCATCTAAGTAGCTGTCTTTACATCCTTTGTGATGGAGAACTGCGAGAGCCTCTGAAATGCGTAACATTGAAAGGACTCTAACTATTCTATTTGTGCTTTAGTTGTGAGTATGTAAGCCAGTTAGATTTTATAATGTCTTTATTTTCTTGCCTGTAACTTTGAATGAATTTATTAATACGGTCACAGACCAGCGTCAACACACACAATATCACAGATCATCATCATCATCATCATCATCATCATCATCATCATAATAAAATATCAGAAATACAGAGGACAATATGAGTATAACAAGGATTTAAATATAAAAAATTAAAATTAATTATTAGCGTGCCCCCTGTAATTAACATTTGGGGGTTTGGTCATTATGGGATACCACTTGCTTCCTGCGATTAATTGCAGATGCACAGAATTTGGCTACATTTGATGTAGTCTTGGGATTCTTGTCCTCTAGCAGTAGTTTTAAACTATGGTGTTCCGATTCTTTCCTGGACTTTTGCAAAACAGGTGTAATAAAAGTCAAACGTATATCCTCATAAAGACGACAACGTAATAATACATGTGAAGCAGTTTCAACTTCCAACGAGCCACAGGGGCAAACCAGTGCTGTGTATGGTTTACCCTCAAATCTGCCCTGAAGTAAGGCAGAAGGGAGAACGTTGAATCTGGCGAGGGTAAAAGACCGTCTGTATTTGGGTACCTGAAGACCTGACAGACAGTTAGCTGGAGAGAAACCTCTCCCATGGTCCCTTATTGCTGGATGTTTGATCATTTCGCTCATGTGGCATTGTAATTCTACGTCCCAGATACGCTGGCGAATTGTAGTCCTAGCTTTCTCGAAGCCTGTCGCTATCAGGGTCTGCTGTGGGATCCCCAAGCCTTTAAGCTTTTCCAGCAGTGTAGCTTTCCATTTGGATTGGTAGGTATCTAATAAGGTTAAAGGTGCCAGCCCAACCGGGAAGAAAATAAGCTTTAGCCAATAATGGATCTTCAGTATCCATATCCGAGTACTGATAGGAATTTGCCCAACCTCCAAACGGACTGCTATGTTGGATACGCAAGAGGGGATCCCCAGCAGGCAGCGGAAAAACTTAGTTTGAAATGCCTCTAAGAGAGTAAGGTTTTTAAAGCTGCAGATCTGGGATCCATATAGCAATTGTGGTAGTATTTTGGCAGCAAAGACCTGGGAGGCTGCCGGTATGTATTGGCCCCTTTCCCATAGAAGAATCTTATTAACGCTTTGGTAGATCTTTCTGCATTTGCAATAGTATTATTAATCTGAAAGCGCCAGGAGCCCCTTTCCTGGAAGGTTACACCCAGGTATTTAAAGGTTGCTACCTGTTCTATTAAGCGATTGTCTATTCTCCATTTGTGCCTCCTCCTTTTTTTAGAGAACACCATGACTTTGGATTTGTTGTAGTTAATTGTTAATTGTTCGATGCTGCAGTATTTGGTGAAAGATCTCAAAAGTTTTCTTAATCCAACACAAGAAAAAGAAATTAAAACTGTGTCATCCGCATATAAAAGGACCGGGAGGGGCGTACCAGCCAATTTGGGGGGGATGGGCATTTTCTTTCTCCATATTTCCTACTAGCGAGTTGATATAGAAGTTAAAGTAGGCGCAAGGACACACCCTTGCCTGACCCCCTGATGGATTTGGATTTCCTTGGATAGGTGGCCCTGTCGGTCACACCTTACCCGGATCCGTGTATTTTCATATAGACTGTGGATGAGATACAGTAGGCGTTTGTTTATATTTGCGGCGCTTAGCTTTCCCCAAAGCCTGTCCCTCGGTATTAAATCAAAAGCAGATTTGAAATCTATAAAGGCCATGTATAGGGAACCTCCTTTTCTTGATGTATATTTCTCCGCAAGATGTTGGAGAACAAGGCCCTGGTCTAAGGTTGACCGATTTGCCCTAAAACCAGCCTGTGCTTCTGAAAGAATGTGGTCTTGTTCCAACCAGTCCACTAATTTGCCGCGTAGGTGGGCAGCGTACAATTTGCTAATGATACTTAGGAGGCTGATTGGCCTGTAATTAGCCGGATCTGATCGGCTCCCTTTCTTGAATAAAGGGATGATGATTGCTAATCCCCAGTCCTCAGGGATAGTGGCCGATTGGTCTATGCTGGTAAATAGGGCAGCTAGCACAGGGGCCCACCATTCAACATTAGCCTTAAGGAGTTCCGGTGTAATGTTGTCTACGCCGGGTGCTTTTCCAGGTTTAAGAGATTGGATGAGCCTATAGATCTCTTCAGTTGCTACTGGTGGGCTTTCTGCGCCAATTTCACTCTGTTCTGGGTGCAGGTCCGTCAGATGTTGATTTGATGTCTATAAAGATAGAAAGTAAGCCTCCCAAATCCCAACTGGTATAGTATAATCAATTTCAATCGGGAGTCTTGCCAACTTTTCGCGACTATTTTCCAAAAGGTGGCTGAGTCTTTCCTTCGAGAGGCCTCTAATAAACGTTGCCACTCCCCTTTGGGCCTGAAGCTTTTTCTTTTAATCAGATCTTTATATTTACGTTTGGCTTTGAACCATTCCGCGGGAAGCAAGGGTAAGTTCGCTGATTTGTAATTCCTGTACTTATCCAGCAAAGAACGCTTTGTAGCAATACATTCCTGATCAAACCAGGGTTTGGATTTGTTGGGGAATATAGGTTGGTGCGATGTCTTTTTTTGAATCAGGTGGGGTTGCAAAAGTGAGATCAGATCCTGGAACAAGATTATTCTAGATTCAGAACATGGTGGGTTTAAGAGATTATCTCTTCTCATGAGGAATATGTCCGAGTATAGCCTTTCAGATGTTTCGGCATTCAGCTTTTCGGACCATCTAATACGTGAGTATCTCAACTCCATGTTGGAGGACCTGGGGGCTTCAAGTTTATCATTGCAAAATAAGTCTTTTCTTGCATCCAGGAGGAGGCAGAGCGGTAAATGATCACTATCAACCCTCTCCTCCACTTTGCACTCAAGGGCTCTATTTAGGAGGTTAAATGATACCATAACATAGTCGATAGTGGAAGCTCCTGCATTTGATATAAAAGTAAATTCCCCACAGGTCTCCCCATTCTTGCGCCCATTTAGTATGACCAGGTCCAGCTTGTTAGAAAGACGCAATAGGCACAGACCTGCATAATTACATCCCTTGTCTTTTGAGAGTCTGGTGGGTATAAGGTGGTTTTCTTCCACGATGGGTGGCGAGTCGTGGAAGTGTGCATATAGTGCTTCGTCAGACTGGCCAATTCTGGCATTAAGATCACCAGCCACTAGCACTGAAGCTGCAGGGGTTTGAGTCATCAAACCATCAATGTATGTTTCCAGCCCATGCCAGGTGTTTTTAATCTGCTGCTTGCCTCTTTGGGGGGGAAGATATACATTAATCAGTAGCAGGGTGAAGAATCTACTTTTCACTAGTAAGGCCATAGCCAGGTGTTTCAGTGTCTCTAGCTTTACTAAGGACGCCCTCAACCTTGTAGATATTAAAATGCCTAGGCCACCCTTGACTCTCCCCCCTTTAGTGCTTGGGGATCCTGTGAGGGACATTGAGGAAAAGCCGTTAACTTCTAGGTCTCCTGTGAGCCATGTCTCCTGTAAAAATACTATATCGTAGCCTTGGATAAATTTAACAAAGGATGGGTCAGCTGCCTTTTTTTGCCATCCTGCGATATTCCATGATAAAAAGCTAAGGTTGGCTTTACCAAAATCCACTCCTTGTCAATTATCTTCCAAGGTACTGTTGGAGTTTACCATTCTGCGTGGCAGCCGTCTGTCATCCTTACATGGAGAGCTGCCCAGGTGTTCTATGGTGTCAGATGGTAAATGTAAAGTGCTCACATTGGTAGACACTGGGTCTTTGCTATACAAGGCCTCCTCCTGGGGGTATTCTACCTGGTTGTAGCCTAATTCCGCTTCATCTAAGTATCTCATTTTGGACCAAAAGCCTGGTGAGGTTTCCTTGGGCATGTTTTTCCTTATAGGGAGCGATGCATTGTTCTCCTTTGTAAGTTGTACTTTCTTGATTGCAGGTAGATTAATCTCTGCCTTTATCTGAAGGTTACGTGGTCGATGAGCCGCTGAATCGAGTTCTTGTGAGATGATCATTTTGGAAGGGCTCTTGCTCTTTCTTTGGACGTCCACCTTAGTTTCCTTATATAAGTCTTTCCCAGCCAGCTTGTTTCTTAACGTTTCTAATCTTTCTAGGATTTCAGCTTGTATTAAAGGTGGGAATGTCCAGAATTGACTAATTAAGGTATTTTCTTCAAAGGAGAAGTTGTGTGTGGGGATGCCCAGTTCGTGAGGCGACTGGTGGTTATTCTGATATTCAGCTTTATTGTTTTCCACCACCTTTGAATAGATGTCTTTCTTATTTAATTTGATGAGGTGCGAGGGGGGGCCGGGCACTTCGAATAGGCGAGTCACTGTCAGCATCACTCGATTATACTTATTGTCATTTGGGAGAAAATCTACATTGATAACGTTACCTTGTAATAGGAGGCCTCTGAGTACTAAGTCAATTTTTTAAAATATATACGTTCTTTGTTGGACCAGTGAATGTAATTCTGTACGGTTGTACATAGGGCAAATAACCAATCTGCTTCTGTTGAGGATCAGCGTTTGATTGTTCTGAGTTATCTTGTTGTGAATGGGGTGTTAGTCACCAAAGTAGCAGAGGAGGTTTGCCGGTCTTTATCTATTTGTTCGTTCCGATCTTTTGTTGGTTGAGGGCTAGGGGATTGTGATGCACTTGTCACTTTGGGTTGCTGGATAGTGCTCTGTTTTAGGGTCACGGGTTTAGTATTCTTTGTATTTGATTCCTTTATTGTGGGATTCTCCAGGAGCTTGAATAACTTAGAAAAATTCAATTTCTTAGTTCGTGTATGACTCTTAGTCCGCCTTCCCACTTTTATGTTTTTAGACTTCTTCTTGTGAAGTGGGTGTATTCTTTGGTGGCGATGCTTCTTTTTAGGTGAGGACTGTTGGTAGACATGGGAGTGGCTCTCTCTGGGACCTTCTCTGAGATACTGGGCTCTGTTGGAATTTCAGCCGCTGGAGTGGGGGGGGGTGAGATTGCTCCCTTCCTGATGAGCTCTGTCAGGCTTACTAGCAAACCCACACATTCCGTAAGAAAGTTCCTGATTGGTCCTAATTCTTTACTTATGTGCATTTGGCATTCTTTCATCATTTCATTGAAAAGCCCAATCAGGATACAGGTATCGCTATCTGTGTCCCAGCAGGCTCCTTTTAGCTGACTTGGATTTTCCTCTGTTCTCGTCGCACTTGAGGATTCCATCCTAGCCTTTTTGCTGGGGCTGGCTGCATTGACTGATCCATCTAGTGTGACTTCCAGGCGTTTCAAATTTCGTTCTTGATCATGTTCTACGGGAGTGTCGGTAGCACTAGATTGGGAGACTATCTGAGCCATCTCCATTGTCAGACTGAGCCATCTCCATTGTCAGACTGATCCCCTCTCTCTCCTCATCAATATCAGGTTCCTTCCCATACCATGTTCGGTCAATAGACCAATCGAGGAGAGGTGGGGACTCGGAGCCTATGGGCGTTTTTGTTTTAGGCTTAAAATAATGCGAAATTTTCGTCTGCGAGGTTACTGATGGTGATTCAACCCTCTGCGCTGGGGAGATCCCCAGAACTTTACATTTCTGTCTGGTGAGCACCATCTCCGTAGAGTATATGGAGCTATGTGGGATATGTGGATGTGAAGATAGCACCGCTTAGTCCCAGTTAGACAAGCTGGAATTAGCACTCCTCTCGTTAAATAACGCTCTCCCCAGAAGCTCCACGTCTAGTTAATTAATTAGAAGTGGCTGTGGTCCACTGCGTGCCAGACTTTCCGACAGTTCACAATCTAACGGTCAGAGATAGAGGGGGATAGATAAAATAGATTTTTACAGCTGCATTACTTACAACGACCGTGGCAGATGAAACGTTGAGGGGAGGAGAGCGATGAAATCCAATCTGGCTTGAACCGCCATCTTACTTGCCGAAGAGACTATGTAGTGATACTCCCCGACGGCGTTGAAAGCCCTCCGGTGATGTTAACATTAATTTACTGCCCCCGCTGTACCCCGCCAGCTGTGTGGAATTCCGAAGTGTAAGTAGAGCTCAGTACTCTCTCTTCCTCTCCCTCTATTATAGTTGCGCTTGGAGAGGTGTTTCGTTGCCCCTCTCTTCAGCGAGGCATTTAGAGAACCAGCAGTTTATCAACGTCGCCAGTAAAACAGTAAAACAATAAAACGTTAGCTAAGAAAAACAGGGGCGGTGGTGAGGTGATAAGTCAGCCAATAAATCATTAAAACTATAAAATTAGAGTCCAGGAAGGCTAAAAAAAACTACTTAAAATCTTAATTGAAGGCAGGCGAACCTGACTATGCTGCTATCTCCGTCACCATCTTGTCTCAACCCTGTAACTTTCTAAAGAAGTGCCTGCTATTTTAGCATGTTTTCTTATGTTCTTTTAAAATAAATTTTAAATAAGAAACTGTTTTGGTTTGTGTGCCCTTCCGGGGGAAAAGCTAATTCCTAGCCTTACGCTTGGTTACGCTCTACCGTAGAATTTCTGTCTGCAAGTCTGTGGATACAGCTTGTGGAGTGGGGATAACCAGTAATAACGGGGCACAGCCTTCTCCCTGGGTTGTGGCTCTGGGTTCCCTGGGACAAAGGGAGTGGTGGCAGCCTTAACCGGTGTGATTTTGTCCCGTTTCTGTAAAACGTAAACTTGCCTGCCAGCCCTGCTCAAGAAACCTGATCTGGCCGGAGAGCAAAAACAGGTGAGGGAGGGGCGAGCGGCTGGGGGCGAAGTTTACCACAAGGGGGATATGAGGAAGTCACTTAACAATGTTACTAAGTTTGGTTTAATTGCGGTTGAGATTTATGTTTGTTTGTTTAACAAATTTTCTGGGAAACCTTTTTTTAATAAATAAATAAATAAATAAATAAATAAAGTACAAGATGCAGAGCTGTGCCAGACAGCGAATTCCTGGGCTGGCTTATGCAAACCAACCTGTCTGAGCTATGGCTATCAGAAGAACAATGGAGGGCCATTAACAATGCAAGAAGACTCCTTTCCCCTTGCCCTGAGGCGTGAACAGAGACCAGTTTCAGGTGATGAGAGTTGTTTGAGGGGACAGGAAAAGGCAGTTTTTGAGCAAGGTTTGCTGGGAAGAAGCAGCAGGAGAGGAGCTGAGCTCCATCTTGGGCAGGCAGGCTAAAGGATGCCTGCGCTGCTCCTTGTGAAATGACCACGCCGTAAGATCTGGGCTCCCACTATGCAGACTGAAGGTGTAAATAGGTGAATAAAACATATTTCTTAAAGCTACAAGAGTCTCCACTGTGTTTTCTATTCTCCAAAGGGACACAGACCCTTTTTTACAGCTGCCACAGACTAGGTTGACATCTTAACTGAGATATCTACCACAACCTCAGGGTCTCATTCAACGTCAGTCACCACCAGTTCATACCTTACAAGTGTCTATGGGAAATTAAGCTTTCTTGCTCAGTCATGCCTCTTGTTACTCTTGTTTACACAGAATTGCATTTGCCATTTTACTGCTCATTCGCTCACTTTGGAGAGGTGAATTTAGAAGTCAGTGGTATGTGTGTGCATGCAATATTATGCAGAGGATCCTTTTCTTCTGTTGTCATTGAAGACTATGCAACAGGGATTTTGGAATGCACTAGATGGGCCGCTCTCCTGCCGCGTTTTTGTCTGTAATACTGCTCGTTCACTCACTTTGCAAAGGTCCTTTTGGAACTGTTTGTGATTGCTTTTAGCTTAACTGACCTTGAACAATTTAGTGTCATCTGCAGACTTGGTCATCTCACAAGAGACCCACAACTGCAGGCCTCACAAGCTGAAGCCGGGCAGTTAGGAGTCTGACTTCTGATGGTTCTGCCTCCATTTCCAAGTTTCCGTGGCTTGGGAGACACGGCCATTCCACAGTCTCAAACCTGCTTACAAAACAATATGTTATTTGTCATCGCCATTTCATCCACTTTGTTCTTTACTTTGATTGAATTTCTGATTGGAACATTTCCTTCCTTTTCACATTCTCATTAGAGCACCATGCCCTGCAGAGACTCTGGGAAGCACCACATGTGGCTGCAGGGATCTGTTTTAAATGAAGGGGTTCCCATAAGTCACTCTTCGTAACCCCAATCCGGTTTTTCCAGCTCATTGAATGGGCTGATTCAACACCTGATTGGCCATCTGCCAGCCACTCAACTGTCATATTTTCAGAGTAAGAGTCAGAGGCAGAGCACAACAATATTGCATCTAAGGGAACATAAAAATACACCTCTATATATCTTTATATATCTATATATAATCCGTCTATCTATCTCTGTAATTCCCAGTTTTCACATTAATTTATATACTTGGCCCTCCAGATGTTTTGGGACTACAACTCCCATCATCCCTAGCTAACAGGACCAGTGGTCAGGGATGATGGAAACTGTAGTCCCAAAACAGCTGGAGGGCTGAGTTTGCCCAAGCACCCACGGCCCCCTGGAGTTGGCTCCTATCGTTGTATATCTCCTTCTCATTCATGATCTTGTGCCTTGCTGGTGCTATTATGATACCCCACACAGGGCCATACCCTTGTATTTTTGCAGGTTTCCAATTAGCGTCATTTTTTTGATTTGAGCCAGAACACAATTCTGCCGTATTTGTAGGTGAGAAGATGGGAAGGAGGAGATTTCTGCAATTTTTTCAGCAGGAGGGAAATGCCAGTGAGACGGAGGATCTTGCTGGCTGTAGCGGAAGCAGGCGGAGGGAGGGGTTACCAGCTGGCTGCAGAATCTACACAGAAGTGGTCTTCCGTTCTGCATCAGTGGAGACATGTTGGGGACATGGAAAGCAGGGCAGGGAACATTGCAATATCACAATTTTTTCCTCATATGAATGAAGCCCCCTTTACTACAAGACAGGTACTTCTGGATAATGCCTACCGAAACCACGCCATGGACATGCAGGAAAATCCGTAAGGAAAGATGCCCAGGACATAGACATGACATTCCCTTGTCTAGAGTCAGGATAGCAGCAACAACAACCAGCTTCTCTTTCATTTCCTGTTGTGTTCTGAGTTCCCCCTTTCTCAAGGGAATGTGCTCAGTATTCCTTCATTTCATTGCTTGGCAACAGTGTTTCAATTTTCAAGTCTTGTTATGCTGCCTTTAAAGCCCTAGGAAGTAGCTTCCACATTTTGCTTTCAAACTTCTTTCATAGATATCTGATAGCCATACTTTTTTTTAAAATGTCAGTGCTAAGATTCTGCCTCCCTCCTCCTTCACTGGCCTGAGGAGTGGTACACATATGTCGGCTGAACTGCCCTCTCAGCAGCCTGTAGATCCAAGCTGGATCTACACTGATATGAAAATATAGCTGTCAATGTAATTTACCACTGATGATGGATCACTGCTTTGCAGCATCCTCAGGTGTCACATTTTATAATGCATTTTTAATGACATAATTGACCATTGTAGCTGTCCATAGTCTTTAAATGAGGATTATACATGAAGTGCTCCAAATGCAGGAAGGACCACTGGGCAATAGATGGTAGGTGTTTGTACTTCCAATCTTACAGTATACACCTGTTAGCCATCAGTATTACTTAATGGCAAAGCATTACATGGAATAGTAGCACTAATATTCTGCATTTCACCAGACATCTTGCCTAATGGAGAATTCTGTGAGACTTTGCAAACCGCACCCGGCGCTTTGAAAATGTTGATGCAATAATAATGCATTCAAGGACAACCCTAGGCACAAAAAGCTGGCGTAACTAAAGCCCAGTAAATTAAGCTGGTGTAAAGTTAAACCAAATCCAAACCCAACCAGCTACCACTTCCGTGACTTCTTCCTTACAAGTGCAGAGTGTGGCCTGCTGGTCAGCTTCCTCCTCTTCCATCTTGTGCTGGACTAGTTTTAACCAGCCATGTCATTTATTTAAAACATTTTTATACTACTTTAACAGTCATAGCTGCCCCCTCCCTTGAAGGAATTCTGGGAACTGTTGCTTGTGGAGCAAAGCAGGTGGAAAAAGCCATTGCCTGATTAACATTTTTGCAGACAATGGCACTGGCAGACCAGGAGATGGGGACAAGCAGAACAAGCCACTGCCAAGTCCCGAGACTTTCCCTTTGGTCTCTGGGTCCTCCATGCAGTTGGAACACCCAGCTCTGGAGATGGCAGCAAGGAGGCCCAGAACAGAACAGTGATAGAGACCACCGCCAGGGTGTGGACCACCTGGAGGTCCACAGGAAGGTCCAGCAGGGAGTCGTAGACCTTGCACTGCATCTGGCTGGTGCTCTTGTAGACGCAGTTTATTCACAACTCCTGGCTCCTACCTACGTGTGTGTGTGTGTGTGTGTGTTGTGACATCAACCCCCCCATCTCAGTGACAGGTCGGTGCCCATGGGGATGAGGAGCCAAGTGACTCTTAAAGCGGACATGGGCCAAATTGCAGCTACACTAAAAGTGAAAGGTAGCTCACACCCATTGCCCCTTTAAGAGCAGCTTAAATTGGGACATCTCAGGGCAAAGGAAAAATCTGATTGCTTCCATAGCAGTCCCAAAAAATTTGAGGCAATTGAGGTATACGTATATTGGCAGTAAACCTTGGGGCAAATCACAGGGGTGTAGAGACAAAGAGAGAGAGGACAAAGTTAAGCCATGCAGGCAAATCCTGAAGTTGGGTTAAAAAGAAAAAGGGTGGAGATCTTCCTTGTTCTCTGGCTCTCGGCAAGCAACCTTGGGTGGGTCTCCCTAACCGGTGGCCTCTGCTTGCTCTACATGGGCAATTTGGTGGGTGGGGGAGGACACACACGCCTGCATGGTCTAAGGAGGGTGAGAGGCACCCATTGCTTAAGGCAGTGGTTCTCAACCAGTGTGCCGTGGCACCCTGAGGTGCCTGGAATTGTGGTCAGGGGTGCCGCGGGCAACACTGGCCTCTGTCCCTCTTTCCTTCCCTCCCCCCTATGATGTCCTCTCACATTTCTGACTATTCACATAAAATGAATTTTCAAGTCAGACTTTTTGTGCATGTTTTGTTTTGTTTTCGTTTTTTGCTTTATGGAAGCAATTAACCCATCACGGATTGTTCCTTAAGCTGGTCTTAAGCTTGCAGCTACCTTTCACTTTGTAGCGTAGCTGCAATTTAGCCCAAGTCCCTTTGAAGAGCTACTTGGCTCCCCATCTTCCCTGGGCGCTTACTTGACATTGAGATTGGGACGGGGGCTTGACATCATGAGGGTGTCACTGGCCATACACTGAAAGATTGTCAGTGACCTACCCTGCATGAGGGGATATGGGGTGGGCTGCCTGCGTACACATGTGTCCTGCGGGGCACCCCCATATCCCATTTACACTGAGGAGCCCCACCCTGGTCTTCTGTAGAGATTTGAAATGTCAGAGAATCTAACAGATAATAATCAGCACTCCTGCCAAACTGCAAGCCTCCATGATTCTCTGGGGAGAAAAAATGACATTTAAACCATTGTAGGGATTGTAACCTGGCTATAAAAGAGAGAGGAGTTAGGAGGCTTGCAGATTCATTTTTAAAGCAGTTTTTCTACCACTACTGATGAATGTGAATGTTACAAGACAGGGGCTCCTCTACTCCTTGGGGAACATGTGTCATTGAGAGGAGCAATATTTCCTGACCAGAAAGCAGAATGCAGGTAGATTCTGGGAAAGCCTCATGTAGTTTCAGATAATATGATCAACGAGTTGGGATAAAGTTTGGGGACGTCTTGCTGCTGTGAAGCTGGTGTGAAGAATAAAGAAAGGAGGCACATCCTTCAGAATAACCCTGCCATGCTGAATGCATCAGTTGCTTAAAGCATGGTGCTGATACGGCCCAGGTGGAGTTCCCGCCAGCTCCTGCACTTTGAATTGGCCAATGAGAGGCCTGCTCAGGTGAGAGGGGATGCCTCGCTGCTGAAAGGCCATTGGCTGCCCACCTGCCAGGGCAGAACAGAGCCTGTTCAGTCTACTGCTGCAGTGGTTTTAAGTAAGAAGACAGGCCCAAAGAAACCAGTCTCCTTTCAAACTCCTTGAACGTTAAACAAGAAAGTGGTGGTGCCGGCTGCAGAGAGAACCAATTCCTTGCAAGTGCAGAACGTACCTTACGTAGCCCTGGTAAAAGTGCCAGTTCCACATACTGTGTAGGGATGTTGTACATGAATAAGGGGCTCAGACAAACATTAGCCAATCGGTGCTCCCTCAACACAAGGCAGCAGAGAATTAAGGTCACAATGTTCCTTCTCCATTTTGCAAATTCTGCATCTTGTCCTCTAAAGAAGATAAGGGAAGAAGATTATATATTTTGTGTTCTCATGTTGTACTTTTATGTTCTGAACTGTCTGTGATCTGCTAATGAAGGGTCGTATACAAATTAAATAATAACAATAGGCGAACTTCCCCATAGCTATTAGGATTTCCCACAAATCCCAATTGCACTCAAGTTTCTGGAAGGACTTTCTGAGAACCTCACAGAATAGCCTCTTCTTGGATTGTCTGGGTGGAGCTACTGATGGGAATCATATCTCACCAAAGTCTCCCAGGATGCTATATAAGCAGGCCTGGTGGCCCACATGCCATTCACACTGAATCCTAAAATGTGGGCCAAGATCTTCGTACCACTTGTGGGACTCCTTTGCGGGGCCAGCCTGCCACTGACTTCTTCCCAGGCTGATACAGGTCACTTTGCTTCTCTTTCCTTCCTCTTTGCAGCCTTCTCATGCATCTACCTGAAATCTGGGCATCTGGAACCACCCTTAGAAACAGAGCAATAACAACCCTTGGATTCTCTTCCTCCAACTTTTCTGCTTATTTGCCAGCAGTAAACGGGATAGTCATTCCCAAGGGACGGATCCCATGGTTCCAAAACAAATACCCTTTTATTAAGATTTGTAATTGCCTGTTTCTGTGTGCTGAGATCTTTGTAGGTTTAGGGGACAGCAGAGACATTCTTCTGATAGGGGCAAAGAAGGCAGGGCTCTCACAAACTATGTAGCTGAAATTATTTAGCTGAGATTCCTGCATTAGAGGGGGAGATTCTATCAGGGAGGTTCTATCTATACAGGGAGCGCAGCTATCATCAAGCCTTTATCAAAGAATGGTACACTCTGTCTACCTGGGATAGTCTTCTTCCACCAAGCGTGCAGCTTAGGGAGGGACGCACATGAAACAGGGGGACACCTGCCTAGCCAGCCAGGTCAGTCAGATCAGCCCTGGCGATCAATGGGGTGACAGATGTCTCAGTCGGATCACCCTCACATCCGTCTTGAGACATCTCCTGGGGCTCCCAAGTTCAATCATGTATGAGACAATGTGTGCAGAACTAGGTATACAGATGATGGAATATTGGGTGTGGGCTAGCACTATGAAATACTGGTTGCATTTCCATTTTGTTGCCAACCTTTGAGTCTACTCTCTGACCTATTTACGGACTCAATCCAGAAGTTCCAACTCTTACATAGGAAAATCAGATCTATTGGTATTCAGATCAGATCTTCAAACCCTTGTATAATTTGAGTGAGCAATATATTTATTGCAATAATCAAAACAGATTAAGGTAAATTGGGGGGGAAACAACATCAAGTCAGGTGTAAATAAAATTTGCTCCCCCGAGATAACAGGGTCACATATCTCAAAATTAATAATTTCCCCCGAGATAGCAGGGTCACATATCTCAAAAATAATAATTTCTGTCCAAAGCAGGACCTTTATCTTAGCCCGACTGAATGCTTTTCCTTCAGCTTTTGTTAAGGGCAGATTTTTAAACATCCCCAGAAATGATAGACATTGTGGATGTTCTTTGATTGTGCCGGACACTGTAGAACATATCCTTTTCTACTGTCCATTTTACAACCTGCTACGTAGACGCATGCTACCTCTCCTTTTTGGGTAGTCTAACATCACGGCACAATGAAAATATCCGATTAACCCGGAATTAACTGCAAGGGGGGCTGAGGTTTTGTTAATAGTATCTCTTGGAGTGCTAAATGGCACTATTTAGCAGGAAGAAATCCCAATGAAATTCCTCATCATTATATATTTTACATGGCTGTTTATTTGTATATATTTTAAATGTTTTAGGATGCCCTATATTTGTAATGCCTAGAAAGGTTTTGATGATGTAAGTAAGTAAGCATTACAGGGGGTTGGACTAGATGAGTATTAGGGTCCCTTCCAATTCTAGAATTCTATGATTCCACGAAAAGAGAATATGCATGGGAAAGAGGGTCAGAGAGAAGGAAAATCTCAGGGGTGCAGAGAAGAACAAATGGCAGACAAAAGCAAGACTGGAAGGATTGAGATGAAAAGCAGAGGTTTTAACCCACGACATTTATTCATTGGCTGATTTTTAAATCATTTCTAAGCTGCTTAAATCTTAAACAGTGCACTAAGCAACATAAAAACTGTAAAGCAATATCAGAAAAACCATAAAAACAGTAATATAAAGTCATTAAAAAACCAGGAATTTTATCTGTCTGTCTGTCTGTCTATTTTGTTCCCTTAGGTGAAATATTGGTGTGCACTCTCTCTGCCTCTGTCCCCGAAGGCATGATGATTATGTGGCAAGCAGGTGGCCAATCAGGTAACACCTCCGGCATCATAAGTGCAAGCATTGGTAGCACATCCTCAATCAGAGTTGGACTACAACTCCTTTTTTCGGGGAGGTACACCTGTCAAATTTCCCTCCCTGAGTCCCAAACTGAAGTCAATGAACCTGCAGGTAAAAACTCTCAACACAGTTGGGACTTAGTTGTCCTTTGAAAAGTATGGTTTGGGAGTGGGATGATTGTTTCCAGATTGCTTAAGATCCTCTCAGGGATTGACCATTTCAAGACTGCTTCATTCTTAATTCAGAAATTTATTTCTGCTTTCCATTATGGCCTGTTGAGATAAGACTTTCCCCACCAGTTGCCATGATATTGGTGCTAGTATTGACTAAAGACACAACTTGAAATTGCAATCAGTCCGGTGGAGGTCTGAACAGTAATTCTCCTCTTATCTCTGCAGAAAGGTTTTCACCGTTCTTGAACAATACTAAATGCATGTTTTTATCAGAAAGTAACAATGGGAGAAGGAAAGGAAAGAATGTGTACCCTGCAGGGGTCAAGGTGTCTCCCACAATAATTTCCACCCCCATTAAAAACCATTTCCACCTCCAGCCAAGGATCCTTCTAAGCTTCATCTACCTGTTGATCATGTTTACCCAGCATAGGGTGACCTAGATGAACAGATGGTGCCCTTCTATTGGAGGCAGATTTTTATATCCTTGCCCTGGTGGCCACGTCCACACATTTAAGGAGCTCCGTACCTAGTTAGCTGCTGCAGAGATGGTATTATTGGATATGGGATGTTTTTATCTATCCTTGGTTTTCAAACCCGGCCTATACACCGATACCTTCTCTGGGAAGGCTGGGGTGCTTTTTGTGCTGGGTGCTTTCTTTATACATGTTGGGGAAAGGAGCTGTGTAAATATTCCTGGAATCTCCACTATCCCACCGTGTCCTCATCCAGCTCAAGGAAGCCCCATGTATGTGCCACAGATCTTCCTACTCAGGTCCACACACCCAAGAACTTCAGTTAAATCCCCTTTGCTCCTTAAAGCTTTCATTAAGGATTTACCCCCTCTATCTACAGATTAAAAATGTTGGTCAGAGAATCCAGCAGAAAATAATCAGCACTAAATGGTGTCATAAATGTTGTCCATCAGTTATGTCTAAAATTAATAGCTGTTGCCTCTCCCTTTCTCTCATACTTTCCCCACCCCAAAACTTAAAAAGACAAAGGGAAGGGTCTCCATGAGAACCTCTATCGCGCCAACCATAAAGAAAGCAGCCTTCAGCGAGCACAGACAGTCCTCACCGGCATGGTCATAGGGCTCAATGCAAGTGAAGTTTCTGTCCAGTGGGTGAAGAATGCCCTCCTTGAAGGTCGCCATGTGAATCCCCGAGTCTTGAAGGGCAGCATCAAGGATTCCCTCTTGGCCATCAGCCAGGTGGTAGTCCCCTACTCTGACTGGAACAACGGCACTTCATACTCCTGTACATTTACCCGCACAGCAGGCACCGTGGAGCCCACCCAGAGGCCTGAGGAGAAATCCCAGGGTGAAAAGTGAGGCACACCCCTTTCTCAACCTATCTCAGTTTTCCCTCCTCAGCCTATCCCAGATTCAATAATATCCATGTAATTATGTAGCCTAAGGCTGAATAAAAGTGAGCAAACTCATAGATATCTAATGATGTGATCACTTGATTGAGGTGGTGGGTGGGTTCTGGAAAGAAGCGGGGAATGGATTACACTCCCTGCAAAATTGTGTTGAAGTTTGATTATTGTAGAAGCAAAGTGTGTTTAGCACATAACCATGAAGTTCAGGGGGGGAGCTTTTGGCTAGTCACTGTCTCTTAGCCTATTCTTCCTCACCAGGGTTTATACTCTCCCCGAGCACAGATTTTTGTGTCTCTCCCCCCCCCCCCCAGCAGAGCATTTCCTATAGAAGGAAAGGTGAGTGGAGTGACAACAATTCATTTTGCTGACCAGGGTCTTCTGCCTGTTCAACATGTTTACCCAGCATCAGCTGACCTAGATGAACAGGTGGTGCAGTTCTGTTGGAGGCAGATTTTCATATCCTTGCCCTGGTGGTCCAGTCCACACATTAAGGAGCTACGTAGCTAGCTGAGATTCCTGCTTTGCAGGGGGTTGGACTAGATGACCCTTGGGACCCTTCCAACTCAATAATTCCATGATTCAAGGGAAAAAGGATCAGAGAGAAGAAAAATCACAGGGCTGTAGAGACGAACGGATGGCAGACAAAAGCAAGAAGTGAAGTACTGAGATGGAAAGGAGAGGTTTTAATCCAAGGCATTTATTCATTCAATGATTTTAAAATCATTTCTAAGCTGCTTTATATTTAAAAATAACAAACTTAAGGAGTGCAAAAAGACAATGTGCTGCTGCTGTGAAGAATGTATAAAAATTACAGAAGGTAGGCAAACCCTTCAGAATAACCCTGTCAAGAATTCCTGTGTTCATCAGAATGTCATCATAGCCCTTTCTAGATGCTCCTGCTTGTCCTTCCTTCAAGACCCCCATTTCATAAATGCTGCCTGTCCATCAGGTATGTCTAAATCTAATAACTGTTGGCTCTCCTTTGTCTCATACTAACCCCCACCGGAAACTTAAAAAGACAAGGCAAATGGTCCCCATGTCAATTTCTATTGCACTGCGAAGAAACCAGCCTTCAGCAAGCACAGACAATGCTCACCAGCTTGGTCACAGGGCTCAATACAAGTGCAATTTCTGTTCAGTGGATTAATAAGAATAATAAGAATAATAAGAATTTATACCCCACCCATCAGGCTGGGCTTCCTCAGCCATTCTGGGCAGCTCCCAACAGAATTAAAAGTACAATAAAACATCAAACACTAAAAACCTCCCTAAACAGGGATGCCTTCAAATGTCTTCTAAAAGTCAGATAGTTGTTTATTTCCTTCAAATGTGATGGAAGGGCATTCCACAGGGCGGGTGCCACTGCTGAGAAGGCCCTCTGTCTAGTTCCCTCATTGAGAGTCAGCATGTGAACACCCAAGTATTGAAGGACAGCAGCAAGGTTTCCCTCTTGGCCTTCAGCCAGGTGATACTTTCCTACTCCGACTGAATCAATGACACCATGAAGCTCATCCAGAGGCCTGAGGAGAAATCCCAGAGAGAAAAATGATGCACACCCCTTCCTCAGCATCTCTCTAACTCTGTCCCCGAAGGCATGATGATTATGTGACTGGCAGGTGGCCAATCAGGTAACACCTCCGGCATCATAAGTGCACGCATTGGTAGCACAGCATACCTCAGCCTTGCACTACTAGACGTTTCGCAGAGAGAGAGGACAAACTTAAGCTATGCAGGCAAATCCTGAAGTTGGGTTAAAAAGCAAAAGGGTGGAGAGCTTCTTGTTCTCTGGCTCTCGGCAAGCAACCTTGGGTGGGTCTCCCTAACCGGTGGCCTCTGCTTGCTCTACATGGGCGATTTGGTGGGTGAGGGAGGACATACGCGCCTGCATGGTCTAAGGAGGATGAGAGGCACCCATTGCTTAAGGCAGTGGTTCTCAACCAGTGTGCCGTGGCACCCTGAGGTGCCTGGAATTGTGGTCAGGGGTGCCGCGGGCAACACTGGCCTCTGTCCCTCTTTCCTTCCCTCCCCCCTATGATGTCCTCTCACATTTCTGACTTTCAAAGTCGGGCACAGCTGTTTGTTGCAACCCTAATACTGTACAAGTGAAAGCTGCCCCTGGGGCTGGCCATTGGGTGCTGGTAGCCAGGAGGTGAGGCGGCCTTGAAGTAAGCAAGCAAGCGGGCGAGGAGCCAAGCCGGCTAGTCTGCCAGCCATTGCTGTTGGGAAGGGACAGACAGGTGGGAAGCTGGGCAGGGAGGCAGGCACCATGCTGGCTTTTATTGTGCTTGCTGTATGCAATGCCTGCCTGGAAGCTGAGTGCCCAGTCCTGAAGGAGAGCCTTTCTTCCATGCAGGCCTGGCAGGGCCCACTGCTGCCATTGCTGCTCCCTGGGTAAGATGCTGGCCTCACTTTCACCCTTGGCCAGTCTCCATTGGGCCTCCAAGTCTGGGGACATCTTCTTCCCAGGCCCCCGTGGGGCTGTGTGAGGAGGCACCTCTCTTTAGGGCAGGAAGGGGGCAGCTCTGAGACCAGGAGCAGCAGGGGTGGCCTTTCAGGTGCTATCGAACTACATATTCCATTCTCACTGATGAGCCATTGGTTATGCTGGCTGGGCTATGTTGGAAATGAGTGTGCAACAAGGGTTACTGGTGGTGAAATAAGGGAGGTTAACATGATTAAATTTGAAAAACCCTTGCTGATGACTTAAAAAAAAAATCCTGCTCCTGGGAAGTTTAAGAAGTTTGTCGTTCCATCTCAAATTAGTGTTTGAGATCCAAGGCATGACTGTACTAGTTGTTGGGAATGGCAGGGGTGGTGTTTGCAAGCTGCCCCATAGGCACCTAATTAGCCACTGTAAGAAAAGAATGGAGGAAGAGATGGGCTGCTGGCTGATCCAAAACATTATTCTTATGTTCTTATCCTTTCTTTAAGGGTGTTCTGGGTCTGAGCCCAACCAATAATTTACTGGCGTGATGTGGTCATAGTGCTCCACATCATAGTGCTCCAAACCTCTCTGGTATTAGCTAGTGATAGAGGAAGCATAATGTGACAGAGTTCAGTCACAATGTCCTCACTAGACCACCACAGGCAAACGGTAAAGCGGAGGAGGAAATCACTGAAGCAAATAATGCCAGCAGAATTAATTGAGAAAAATTAGGAGGATAAGAATGTGTAGCAGCTCCGTATCAACACAGTTGGGTCATGACTACCATATTTGGGGATGGGACAGAAAGAGCAGGGGATAAAGTTTTTTTTCCTTGTTCTCCCCCTCTAAAACAAGGTGCGTTCAGTCGCCTTCAGTGAAGGCAACCTGAAGCCTCCGGAGCGTGGCGGGAGTCCCCGCTGCGCTCTGGAGGCTTCAGGCAGCTACCTTGGAAGCTTGGAGAGCAAGAGGGGTCGGTGTGCATAAAATGAATTTTCAAGTCAGACTTTTTGTGCACTTCCCCCCCCCTTTTCTTTATGGAAGCAATTAACCCATCACGGATTCTTCCTTAAGCTGGGCTTAAAAAGGCAATGGGCTTGCAGCTACCTTTCACTTTGTAGCGTAGCTGCAATTTAGCCCAGGTCCCTTTGAAAATTCACTTGGCTCCTCATCTTCCCTGGGCGCTTACTTGACATTGAGATTGGGAAGGGGGCTTGACATCAGGAGGGTGTCACTGGCCATACACTGAAAGATTGTCAGTGACCTACCCTGCATGAGGGGATATGGGGTGGGCTGCCTGCGTACACGTGTGTCTTGCGGGGGACCCCCATATCCCATTTACACTGAGGAGCCCTAGTTCCCCTGGCTGGGGGGCTGGGAGGGATACACGCCCAATGCCTAAGCCAAGGTCTTCCTATATTTGAAAGGTTAATAAAGTTGTGGCCAAATTTCCATTCCATAACACGTTGTCATGAGTCATTATTCCTTTCTGGTTGTCCCTGGGGGCTGGGAAGGTCGCCACCTGGTCACGCAATGTTTACCCAGCCTAGGGTGACTTAGATGAACAGGTGGTGCACGTCTATTGGAGGCAGATTTTTATATCCTTGCCTTGGTGGCCCATTCCACACATTTAAGGAGCTACCTAGGTAACTGTGCAGAGGTTATGGGATATGGTGTGGGATGTAATACATCAGTACAGTCATTTACAACATGCTTTGCTTCCTAGAGTGGACACTGTCAGGCGGGTGTTTAACTTCCTGTTCCCCCTGTAAGTGACTCAGCCGATGGGCATGATTCTATAAAAGGGCAAGTCACGCAGTCATCGTCTCAGTTAACTCTCAGTTCATTCTCGCAACCATTTTGTTGTCTGCTGGCTCTCAGCCAGCAGCACTTGGGCCCATCCTCACAAAGGATGTAAGCCACGTTCTATGTTTGCAACCTGAAGCTTAAAGCCTGCCTTCTGGGATGTGTACTGTGAACAACTTATGAGTAAACTTATTGTTATACTTTTAAAGACAGACTTGTGAGTCTTTATTATATTTTAAGAGGGAGGTTTAAGAGGGACTATTCAGCTCATAGTAGCGAGGAAAGGAAGTTCCCCCCACCCCAACGGCTGCTTTATATATATTATTTACACAATTAGCCCCATGTTATTGGCTAATTCTAGGATTCTCCTGTAGGCCAATCAGGTTGTGGATTCACTTCCACCTGGAGTTGGGTTGGGTGGCTCCTGTGGACCAATCAGACTCCTGCATTCTGGATCCTATTGTTCTAGGACCAATCAGACTGCTGCATTCTGAATCCTATTGTTCTAGGACCAATCAGACTGCTGCATTTTGGATCCTATTCAACTAAGTACATAACATCTACCAACTAGCTTCCGTGAATATAGAGGGGATTTGCTCTGCTACATCACTCACTAGCATAAGTGAAGGAAGGATACTACTTAACAAATATTTCCTTGCCTATTACAGTGGTACCTCGGGTTAAGTGCTTAATTTGTTCTGGAGGTCCGTACTTAACCTGAAACTATTAGCACCACTTTAGCTAATGGGGCCTCCTGCTGCTGCTGCGCCGCAGGTTCCACGATTTCTGTTCTCATCCTGAAGAAAAGTTCTTAACCTGAGGTAATATTTCTGGGTTAGCGGAGTCTGTAACCTGAAGCGTATGTAACCCGAGGTACCACTGTCTCCTAAACATCCCCACAAGGGGGATGTTTTTAGCTCTCCTTGGTTTTCTAACCCAGCCTGTGCAGCAACCTGAACATGGCAATAACTTCTCTGGAAAGGCTGGGATGCTGGGTGTCTTCCATATAATGTTGGGAAATGGACGCTTGCCCCTTCCTCCGAATGGGTGGCTGTTGCAGATCCTCGTGCTTGGTCGCCGTCCCCAAGCAGCCAGAACGCAGATGGTCAGGTAGCCATCCAAGAGTTCCCCATGACACCTGGGGAGCTGGCAGGATAAGAGGCCTGGTCAGCTGAGAGGGGATGCTTTGCTGCTGAAAGGGCACTAGCAGCCCATCTGCTAGGGCAGCCACTGAGACATAAAAGCCAGCAACACCTTCTGCCCTCAATAATTTTTTTCTAGAACCTCCGCTATCTGACTATGTCCTCATCCAGCTCAAGTAAGCCTAACGGGCCACAGATTTTCCTACTCGGGGCCACACGCACAATGACCCCCGGTCTTCTGTAGAGATTTGAAATGTCAGTGAATCTAACAGATAATAATCAGCACTCCTGCCAAACTGCAAGCCTCCATGATTCTCTGGGGAGAAACCATGACATTTAAACCTTTGCAGGGATTGTAACCTGGATATAAAAGAGAGAGGAGTTTGAGTTACTGAGGAGGCTTACAGATTCATTTTTAAAGCAGTTTTTCTACCACTACTGATGAATGTGAATGTTACAAGACAGGGGCTCCTTTACTCCTTGGGGAACATGTGTCATTGAGAGGAGCAATATTTCCTGACCAGAAAGCAGAATGCAGGTAGATTCTGGGAAAGCCTCATGTAGTTTCAGATAATATGATCAACGAGTTGGGATAAAGTTTGGGGATGTCTTGCTGCTGTGAAGCTGGTGTGAAAAATAAAGAAAGGAGGCACATCCTTCGGAATAACCCTGCTATGCTGAATACATCAGTTGCTTAAAGCATGGTGCTGATACGGCCCAGGTGGAGTTCCCGCCAGCTCCTGCACTTTGAATTGGCCAATGAGAGGCCTGCTCAGGTGAGAGGGGATGCCTCGCTGCTGAAAGGCCATTGGCTGCCCACCTGCCAGGGCAGAACAGAGCCTGTTCAGTCTACTGCTGCAGTGGTTTTAAGTAAGAAGACAGGCCCAAAGAAACCAGTCTCCTTTCAAACTCCTTGAACGTTAAACAAGAAAGTGGTGGTGCCGGCTGCAGAGAGAACCAATTCCTTGCAAGTGCAGAACGTACCTTACGTAGCCCTGGTAAAAGTGCCAGTTCCACATACTGTGTAGGGATGTTGTACATGAATAAGGGGCTCAGACAAACATTAGCCAATCGGTGCTCCCTCAACACAAGGCAGCAGAGAATTAAGGTCACAATGTTCCTTCTCCATTTTGCAAATTCTGCATCTTGTCCTCTAAAGAAGATAAGGGAAGAAGATTATATATTTTGTGTTCTCATGTTGTACTTTTATGTTCTGAACTGTCTGTGATCTGCTAATGAAGGGTCGTATACAAATTAAATAATAACAATAGGCGAACTTCCCCATAGCTATTAGGATTTCCCACAAATCCCAATTGCACTCAAGTTTCTGGAAGGACTTTCTGAGAACCTCACAGAATAGCCTCTTCTTGGATTGTCTGGGTGGAGCTACTGATGGGAATCATATCTCACCAAAGTCTCCCAGGATGCTATATAAGCAGGCCTGGTGGCCCACATGCCATTCACACTGAATCCTAAAATGTGGGCCAAGATCTTCGTACCACTTGTGGGACTCCTTTGCGGGGCCAGCCTGCCACTGACTTCTTCCCAGGCTGATACAGGTCACTTTGCTTCTCTTTCCTTCCTCTTTGCAGCCTTCTCATGCATCTACCTGAAATCTGGGCATCTGGAACCACCCTTAGAAACAGAGCAATAACAACCCTTGGATTCTCTTCCTCCAACTTTTCTGCTTATTTGCCAGCAGTAAACGGGATAGTCATTCCCAAGGGACGGATCCCATGGTTCCAAAACAAATACCCTTTTATTAAGATTTGTAATTGCCTGTTTCTGTGTGCTGAGATCTTTGTAGGTTTAGGGGACAGCAGAGACATTCTTCTGATAGGGGCAAAGAAGGCAGGGCTCTCACAAACTATGTAGCTGAAATTATTTAGCTGAGATTCCTGCATTAGAGGGGGAGATTCTATCAGGGAGGTTCTATCTATACAGGGAGCGCAGCTATCATCAAGCCTTTATCAAAGAATGGTACACTCTGTCTACCTGGGATAGTCTTCTTCCACCAAGCGTGCAGCTTAGGGAGGGACGCACATGAAACAGGGGACACCTGCCTAGCCAGCCAGGTCAGTCAGATCAGCCCTGGCGATCAATGGGGTGACAGATGTCTCAGTCGGATCACCCTCACATCCGTCTTGAGACATCTCCTGGGGCTCCCAAGTTCAATCATGTATGAGACAATGTGTGCAGAACTAGGTATACAGATGATGGAATATTGGGTGTGGGCTAGCACTATGAAATACTGGTTGCATTTCCATTTTGTTGCCAACCTTTGAGTCTACTCTCTGACCTATTTACGGACTCAATCCAGAAGTTCCAACTCTTACATAGGAAAATCAGATCTATTGGTATTCAGATCAGATCTTCAAACCCTTGTATAATTTGAGTGAGCAATATATTTATTGCAATAATCAAAACAGATTAAGGTAAATTGGGGGGGAAACAACATCAAGTCAGGTGATAATAAAATTTGCTCCCCCGAGATAACAGGGTCACATATCTCAAAATTAATAATTTCCCCCGAGATAGCAGGGTCACATATCTCAAAAATAATAATTTCTGTCCAAAGCAGGACCTTTATCTTAGCCCGACTGAATGCTTTTCCTTCAGCTTTTGTCAAGGGCAGATTTTTAAACATCCCCAGAAATGATAGACATTGTGGATGTTCTTTGATTGTGCCGGACACTGTAGAACATATCCTTTTCTACTGTCCATTTTACAACCTGCTACGTAGACGCATGCTACCTCTCCTTTTTGGGTAGTCTAACATCACGGCACAATGAAAATATCCGATTAACCCGGAATTAACTGCAAGGGGGGCTGAGGTTTTGTTAATAGTATCTCTTGGAGTGCTAAATGGCACTATTTAGCAGGAAGAAATCCCAATGAAATTCCTCATCATTATATATTTTACATGGCTGTTTATTTGTATATATTTTAAATGTTTTAGGATGCCCTATATTTGTAATGCCTAGAAAGGTTTTGATGATGTAAGTAAGTAAGCATTACAGGGGGTTGGACTAGATGAGTATTAGGGTCCCTTCCAATTCTAGAATTCTATGATTCCACGAAAAGAGAATATGCATGGGAAAGAGGGTCAGAGAGAAGGAAAATCTCAGGGGTGCAGAGAAGAACAAATGGCAGACAAAAGCAAGACTGGAAGGATTGAGATGAAAAGCAGAGGTTTTAACCCACGACATTTATTCATTGGCTGATTTTTAAATCATTTCTAAGCTGCTTAAATCTTAAACAGTGCACTAAGCAACATAAAAACTGTAAAGCAATATCAGAAAAACCATAAAAACAGTAATATAAAGTCATTAAAAAACCAGGAATTTTATCTGTCTGTCTGTCTGTCTATTTTGTTCCCTTAGGTGAAATATTGGTGTGCACTCTCTCTGCCTCTGTCCCCGAAGGCATGATGATTATGTGGCAAGCAGGTGGCCAATCAGGTAACACCTCCGGCATCATAAGTGCAAGCATTGGTAGCACATCCTCAATCAGAGTTGGACTACAACTCCTTTTTTCGGGGAGGTACACCTGTCAAATTTCCCTCCCTGAGTCCCAAACTGAAGTCAATGAACCTGCAGGTAAAAACTCTCAACACAGTTGGGACTTAGTTGTCCTTTGAAAAGTATGGTTTGGGAGTGGGATGATTGTTTCCAGATTGTTTAAGATCCTCTCAGGGATTGACCATTTCAAGACTGCTTCATTCTTAATTCAGAAATTTATTTCTGCTTTCCATTATGGCCTGTTGAGATAAGACTTTCCCCACCAGTTGCCATGATATTGGTGCTAGTATTGACTAAAGACACAACTTGAAATTGCAATCAGTCCGGTGGAGGTCTGAACAGTAATTCTCCTCTTATCTCTGCAGAAAGGTTTTCACCGTTCTTGAACAATACTAAATGCATGTTTTTATCAGAAAGTAACAATGGGAGAAGGAAAGGAAAGAATGTGTACCCTGCAGGGGTCAAGGTGTCTCCCACAATAATTTCCACCCCCATTAAAACCATTTCCACCTCCAGCCAAGGATCCTTCTAAGCTTCATCTACCTGTTGATCATGTTTACCCAGCATAGGGTGACCTAGATGAACAGATGGTGCCCTTCTATTGGAGGCAGATTTTTATATCCTTGCCCTGGTGGCCACGTCCACACATTTAAGGAGCTCCGTACCTAGTTAGCTGCTGCAGAGATGGTATTATTGGATATGGGATGTTTTTATCTATCCTTGGTTTTCAAACCCGGCCTATACACCGATACCTTCTCTGGGAAGGCTGGGGTGCTTTTTGTGCTGGGTGCTTTCTTATACATGTTGGGGAAAGGAGCTGTGTAAATATTCCTGGAATCTCCACTATCCCACCGTGTCCTCATCCAGCTCAAGGAAGCCCCATGTATGTGCCACAGATCTTCCTACTCAGGTCCACACACCCAAGAACTTCAGTTAAATCCCCTTTGCTCCTTAAAGCTTTCATTAAGGATTTACCCCCTCTATCTACAGATTAAAAATCTTTGTCAGAGAATCCAGCAGAAAATAATCAGCACTAAATGGTGTCATAAATGTTGTCCATCAGTTATGTCTAAAATTAATAGCTGTTGCCTCTCCCTTTCTCTCATACTTTCCCCACCCCAAAACTTAAAAAGACAAAGGGAAGGGTCTCCATGAGAACCTCTATCGCGCCAACCATAAAGAAAGCAGCCTTCAGCGAGCACAGACAGTCCTCACCGGCATGGTCATAGGGCTCAATGCAAGTGAAGTTTCTGTCCAGTGGGTGAAGAATGCCCTCCTTGAAGGTCGCCATGTGAATCCCCGAGTCTTGAAGGGCAGCATCAAGGATTCCCTCTTGGCCATCAGCCAGGTGGTAGTCCCCTACTCTGACTGGAACAACGGCACTTCATACTCCTGTACATTTACCCGCACAGCAGGCACCGTGGAGCCCACCCAGAGGCCTGAGGAGAAATCCCAGGGTGAAAAGTGAGGCACACCCCTTTCTCAACCTATCTCAGTTTTCCCTCCTCAGCCTATCCCAGATTCAATAATATCCATGTAATTATGTAGCCTAAGGCTGAATAAAAGTGAGCAAACTCATAGATATCTAATGATGTGATCACTTGATTGAGGTGGTGGGTGGGTTCTGGAAAGAAGCGGGGAATGGATTACACTCCCTGCAAAATTGTGTTGAAGTTTGATTATTGTAGAAGCAAAGTGTGTTTAGCACATAACCATGAAGTTCACTGGGGGAGCTTTTGGCTAGTCACTGTCTCTTAGCCTATTCTTCCTCACCAGGGTTTATACTCTCCCCGAGCACAGATTTTTGTGTCTCTCCCCCCCCCCCCAGCAGAGCATTTCCTATAGAAGGAAAGGTGAGTGGAGTGACAACAATTCATTTTGCTGACCAGGGTCTTCTGCCTGTTCAACATGTTTACCCAGCATCAGCTGACCTAGATGAACAGGTGGTGCAGTTCTGTTGGAGGCAGATTTTCATATCCTTGCCCTGGTGGTCCAGTCCACACATTAAGGAGCTACGTAGCTAGCTGAGATTCCTGCTTTGCAGGGGGTTGGACTAGATGACCCTTGGGACCCTTCCAACTCAATAATTCCATGATTCAAGGGAAAAAGGATCAGAGAGAAGAAAAATCACAGGGCTGTAGAGACGAACGGATGGCAGACAAAAGCAAGAAGTGAAGTACTGAGATGGAAAGGAGAGGTTTTAATCCAAGGCATTTATTCATTCAATGATTTTAAAATCATTTCTAAGCTGCTTTATATTTAAAAATAACAAACTTAAGGAGTGCAAAAAGACAATGTGCTGCTGCTGTGAAGAATGTATAAAAATTACAGAAGGTAGGCAAACCCTTCAGAATAACCCTGTCAAGAATTCCTGTGTTCATCAGAATGTCATCATAGCCCTTTCTAGATGCTCCTGCTTGTCCTTCCTTCAAGACCCCCATTTCCTAAATGCTGCCTGTCCATCAGGTATGTCTAAATCTAATAACTGTTGGCTCTCCTTTGTCTCATACTAACCCCCACCGGAAACTTAAAAAGACAAGGCAAATGGTCCCCATGTCAATTTCTATTGCACTGCGAAGAAACCAGCCTTCAGCAAGCACAGACAATGCTCACCAGCTTGGTCACAGGGCTCAATACAAGTGCAATTTCTGTTCAGTGGATTAATAAGAATAATAAGAATAATAAGAATTTATACCCCACCCATCAGGCTGGGCTTCCTCAGCCATTCTGGGCAGCTCCCAACAGAATTAAAAGTACAATAAAACATCAAACACTAAAAACCTCCCTAAACAGGGATGCCTTCAAATGTCTTCTAAAAGTCAGATAGTTGTTTATTTCCTTCAAATGTGATGGAAGGGCATTCCACAGGGCGGGTGCCACTGCTGAGAAGGCCCTCTGTCTAGTTCCCTCATTGAGAGTCAGCATGTGAACACCCAAGTATTGAAGGACAGCAGCAAGGTTTCCCTCTTGGCCTTCAGCCAGGTGATAGTTTCCTACTCTGACTGAATCAATGACACCATGAAGCTCATCCAGAGGCCTGAGGAGAAATCCCAGAGAGAAAAATGATGCACACCCCTTCCTCAGCATCTCTCTAACTCTGTCCCCGAAGGCATGATGATTATGTGACTGGCAGGTGGCCAATCAGGTAACACCTCCGGCATCATAAGTGCACGCATTGGTAGCACAGCATACCTCAGCCTTGCACTACTAGACGTTTCGCAGAGAGAGAGGACAAACTTAAGCTATGCAGGCAAATCCTGAAGTTGGGTTAAAAAAGCAAAAGGGTGGAGAGCTTCTTGTTCTCTGGCTCTCGGCAAGCAACCTTGGGTGGGTCTCCCTAACCGGTGGCCTCCGCTTGCTCTACATGGGCGATTTGGTGGGTGAGGGAGGACATACGCGCCTGCATGGTCTAAGGAGGATGAGAGGCACCCATTGCTTAAGGCAGTGGTTCTCAACCAGTGTGCCGTGGCACCCTGAGGTGCCTGGAATTGTGGTCAGGGGTGCCGCGGGCAACACTGGCCTCTGTCCCTCTTTCCTTCCCTCCCCCCTATGATGTCCTCTCACATTTCTGACTTTCAAAGTCGGGCACAGCTGTTTGTTGCAACCCTAATACTGTACAAGTGAAAGCTGCCCCTGGGGCTGGCCATTGGGTGCTGGTAGCCAGGAGGTGAGGCGGCCTTGAAGTAAGCAAGCAAGCGGGCGAGGAGCCAAGCCGGCCAGTCTGCCAGCCATTGCTGTTGGGAAGGGACAGACAGGTGGGAAGCTGGGCAGGGAGGCACCATGCTGGCTTTTATTGTGCTTGCTGTATGCAATGCCTGCCTGGAAGCTGAGTGCCCAGTCCTGAAGGAGAGCCTTTCTTCCATGCAGGCCCGGCAGGGCCCACTGCTGCCATTGCTGCTCCCTGGGTAAGATGCTGGCCTCACTTTCACCCTTGGGCAGTCTCCATTGGGCCTCCAAGTCTGGGGACATCTTCTTCCCAGGCCCCCGTGGGGCTGTGTGAGGAGGCACCTCTCTTTAGGGCAGGAAGGGGGCAGCTCTGAGACCAGGAGCAGCAGGGGTGGCCTTTCAGGTGCTATCGAACTATATATTCCATTCTCATTGATGAGCCATTGGTTATGCTGGCTGGGCTATGTTGGAAATGAGTGTGCAACAAGGGTTACTGGTGATGAACTAAGGGAGGTTAACATGATTAAATTTGAAAAAACCCTTGCTGATGACTTAAAAAAAACAACCTGCCCCTGGGAAATTTAAGAAGTTTGTCATTCCATCTCAAATTAGTGTTTGAGATCCAAGGTATGACTGTACTAGTTGTTGGGAACGGCAGGGGTGGTGTTTGCACCTAATTAGCCACTGTAAGAAAAGAATGGAGGAACAGATGGGCTGCTGGCTGATCCAAAACATTATTCTTATGTTCTTATCCTTTCTTTAAGGGTGTTCTGGGTCTGAGCCCAACCAATAATTTACTGACGTGATGTGGTCATAGTGCTCCACATCATAGTGCTCCAAACCTCTCTGCTATTAGCTAGTGATAGAGGAAGCATAATGTGACAGAGTTCAGTCACAATGTCCTCACTAGACCACCACAGGCAAATGGTAAAGCGGAGGAGGAAATCACTGAAGCAAATAATGCCAGCAGAATTTATTCAGAAAAATTAGGAGGATAAGAATGTGTGGCAGCTCCGTATCAACACAGTGCCCGGTTGGGTCATGACTACCATATTTGGGGATGGGACAGAAAGAGCAGGGAATAAAGTTTTTTTCCTTGTTCTCCCCCTCTAAAACAAGGTGCGTTCAGTCGCCTTCAGTGAAGGCAACCTGAAGCCTCCGGAGCGTGGCGGGAGTCCCCGCTGCGCTCTGGAGGCTTCAGGCAGCTACCTTGGAAGCTTGGAGAGCAAGAGGGGTCGGTGTGCATAAAATGAATTTTCAAGTCAGACTTTTTGTGCACTTTCCCCCCTTTTCTTTATGGAAGCAATTAACCCATCACGGATTGTTCCTTAAGCTGGTCTTAAAGAGGCAATGGGCTGGCAGCTACCTTTCACTTTGTAGCGTAGCTGCAATTTAGCCCACGTCCCTTTGAAGAGTCCCTTGGCTCCACATCTTCCCTGGGCGCTAACTTGACATTGAGATTGGGAAGGGGGCTTGACATCAGGAGGGTGTCACTGGCCATACACTGAAAGATTGTCAGTGAACTACCCTGCATGAGGGGATGTGGGGTGGGCTGCCTGCGTACACATGTGTCTTGCGGGGCACCCCCATATCCCATTTACACTGAGGAGCCCTAGTTCCCCTGGCTGGGGGGCTGGGAGGGATACACGCCCAATGCCTAAGCCAAGATCTTCCTATATTTGAAAGGTTAATAAAGTTGTGGCCAAATTTCCATTCCATAACACGTTGTCATGAGTCATTATTCCTTTCTGGTTGTCCCTGGGAAGGTCGCCACCTGGTCACGCAATGTTTACCCAGCCTAGGGTGACTTAGATGAACAGGTGGTGCCCTTGTATTGGAGGCAGATTTTTATATCCTTGCCTTGGTGTCCCATTCCACACATTTAAGGAGCTACCTAGGTAACTGTGCAGAGGTTATGGGATATGGTGTGGGATGTAATACATCAGTACAGTCAATTACAACATGCTTTGCTTCCTAGAGTGGACATTGTCAGGCGGGTGTTTAACTTCCTGTTCCCCCTGTAAGTGACTCAGCCGATGGGCATGATTCTATAAAAGGGCAAGTCACGCAGTCATCTTGTCTCAGTTAACTCTCAGTTCATTCTCGCAACCATTTGGGCCCATCCTCACAAAGGATGTAAGCCACATTCTATGTTTGCAACCTGAAGCTTAAAGCCTGCCTTCTAGGATGTGTACTGTGACCAACATGTGAGTAAACGTATTGTTATACTTTTAAAGACAGACTTGTGAGTCTTTATTGTATTTTAAGAGGGAGATTTAAGAGGGACTATTCAGCTCATAGTAGCAAGGAAAGGATGTTCCCCCCAAACGTCTGCTTTATATATATTATTTACACAATTAGCCCCATGTTATTGGCTAATTCTAGGATTTTCCTGTAGGCCAATCAGATTGCGGATTCACTTCCACCTGGAGTTGGGTTGGGTGGCTCCTGCAGACCAAGCAGACTCCTGCATTCTGGATCCTATTGTTCTAGGACCAATCAGACTGCTGCATTTTGGATCCTATTCAACTAAGTACATAACATCTACCAACTAGCTTCCGTGAATATAGAGGGGATTTGCTCTGCTACATCACTAACTAGCATAAGTGAAGGAAGGATACTACTTAACAAATATTTCCTTGCCTTTTACAGTGGTACCTTGGGTTAAGTGCTTAATTTGTTCTGGAGGTCCGTACTTAACCTGAAACTATTAGCACCACTTTAGCTAATGGGGCCTCCTGCTGCTGCTGCGCCGCAGGTTCCACGATTTCTGTTCTCATCCTGAAGCAAAGTTCTTAACCTGAGGTAACATTTCTGGGTTAGCGGAGTCTGTAACCTGAAGCGTATGTAACCCGAGGTACCACTGTCTCCTAAACATCACCACAAGGGGGATGTTTTTAGCTCACCTTGGTTTTCAAACCCAGCCTGTGCAGCAACCTGAACATGCCAATACCTTCTCTGGAAAGGCTGGGATACTGGGTGTCTTCCATATAATGTTGGGAAATGGACGCTTGCCCCTTCCTCCGAGTGGGTGGCTGTTGCAGATCCTCATGCTTGGTCGCCGTCCCCAAGCAGCCAGAACACAGATGGTCAGGTAGCCATCCAAGAGTTCCCCATGACACCTGGGGACCTGGCAGGATAAGAGGCCTGGTCAGCTGAGAGGGGATGCTTTGCTGCTGAAAGGGCACTAGCAGCCCATCTGCCAGGGCAGCCACTGAGACATAAAAGCCAGCAACACCTTCTGCCCTCAATAATTTTTTCTAGAACCTCTGCTATCTGACTCTGTCCTCATCCAGCTCAAGTAAGCCTAACGGGCCACAGATTTTCCTACTTGGGGCTACATGCACAATGACCCCCGGTCTTCTGTAGAGATTTGAAATGTCAGTGAATCTAACAGATAACAATCAGCACTCCTGCCAAACTGCAAGCCTCCATGATTCTCTGGGGAGAAACCATGACATTTAAACCTTTGCAGGGATTGTAACCTGGATATAAAAGAGAGAGGCATTAGAGTTACTGAGGAGGCTTACAGATTCATTTTTAAAGCAGTTTTCCTACCACTACTGATGAATGTGAATGTTACAAGACAGGGGCTCCTCTACTCCTTGGGGAACATGTGTCATTGAGAGGAGCAATATTTCCTGACCAGAAAGCAGAATGCAGGTAGATTCTGGGAAAGCCTCATGTAGTTTCAGATAATATGATCAACGAGTTGGGATAAAGTTTGGGGACGTCTTGCTGCTGTGAAGCTGGTGTGAAAAATAAAGAAAGGAGGCACATCCTTCGGAATAACCCTGCCATGCTGAATACATCAGTTGCTTAAAACATGGTGCTGATACGGCCCAGAACGTACCTTACGTAGCACTGGTAATAGTGCCAGTTCCACATATAGGGATGTTGTACATGAATAAAGGGCTTTTGTGATGTCATGTTGTACTTTAATGTTCTGAACTGCCTGTGATCTGCTAATGAAGGGTGGTATACAAATTTAATAATAACAATTAAATTTTCTCAATTACACTCAAGCTTCTGGAAGGACTTTCTGAGAACCTCATAGAATAGCCTCTTCTTGGATTGTCTGGGAGGAGCTACTGATGGGAAACATACCTCACCGTAGTCTCCCAGGATGCTATATAAGCAGGCCTGGTGGCCCACATGCCATTCACACTGAATCCTATAATGTGGGCCAAGATCTTCTTACCATTTGTGGGACTCCTTTGCGGGGCCAGCCTGCCACTGACTTCTTCCCAGGCTGTTCCAGGTGAGTTTGCTTCTCTTTCCTTCCTCTTTGCAGCCTTCTCATGCATGTACCTGAAATCTGGGCATCTGGAACCACTCTTGGAAACAGAGCAATAACAACCCTTGGATTCTCTTCCTCCAACTTTTCTGCTTATTTGCCAGCAGTAAATGGGATAGTCATTTCAAAGTCTTTCCAAAAATACCCTTTTATTAAGATTGGTAAGTGCCTGTTTCTGTGTGCTGAGACCTTTGTAGGTTTAGGGGACAGAAGAGACATTCCCTGGTGATCAATGAGGTGACAGATGTCTCAGTCGGATCACCCTCACATCCGTCTTGAGAAGTCTCCTGGGGCTCCCAAGTTCAATCATGTATGAGACAATGTGTGCAGAACTAGGTATACACACGATGGAATATTGGGTGTGGGCTAGCACTATAAAATACGGATTGCATTTCCATTTTGTTGCCAACCTTTGAGTCTACTCTCTGACCTACTTACGGACTCTGATAAATCCAGAAGTTCCAACTCTTACATAGGAAAATCAGATCTACTGAGACTTGGAAAGAAGCTTTCATAACTTTTATCCCAAAGGAAGATGCGGATTTAACACAAGTAAAGAAATACAGGCCGATTTCATTGTTGAATACAGATTATAAAATCTTTGCAGGAATAATGGCGAAAAGACTGAAAAAGGTACTACAAGAAATTATTCATGAAGATCAAGCCGGTTTCCTTCCAGGCAGACAGATGAAAGACAATGTTAGGAATATAATTAATATCTTGGAATATCTGACAGCCAGGAATGAGAAACAAGCAATTTTGATGTTCGTGGATGCCGAAAAGGCTTTTGATAATATATCATGGGACTGCATGTTAAAAAATTTAGAACATATGGAGATGGGAAATGATTTCTTCAATGGAATAAAGGCAATTTATACGGAACAAAGAGCAAAATTGATTGTGAATAATGTAATTACGGAAGAGGTGAAAATATCAAAAGGTACAAGACAGGGATGTCCACTTTCGCCATTGCTGTCTATAATGGTTCTGGAGGTCTTTTTGAATTCAATTAGGAAAAACGAAATAATAAAAGGGGTGACAGTAGGTCAAAATGAATATAAAGTTAAAGCCTTTGCTGATGATTTGGTAATAATGATGGAAGATCCGACGAAGAGTGTAACTGAAGTGTTAGAAGAAATTGAACAATTTGGTAAAGTGGCAGGATTTATATTAAATAGGAAAAAAACTAAAGTTATAGTAAAAAATATGGACCAAACCTCGACAGAAGTATTGCAATAACAAATTGGCATTGAAGTTGCGAAAAAAGTAAAATATCTGGGAATATGGCTAACTCCAAAAAATATTGATCTGTTTCAGAATAATTATATACCGGTGTGGAATGGAATTAAGAAAGATTTGGAGGTGTGGGGGAAGACTGAAACTATCCTTTTGGGGTAGAATTTCAACGATTAAGATGTGTGTACCCTCAAAGATGTTATTCCTATTTCAGATGATTCCAATACTTAAAGGGACAATGATTTTCAGAGAGTGGCAAAGAGTGATTTCAAGATATATCTGGCAGGGCAAAAAGCCGAGAATTCAATATAAGTTACTAACAGATGCAAGAGAAAGAGGAGGCTTTGCCCTGCCAGACTTGAAACTATATTATGAGGCATCATGTCTCTGTTGGCTAAAAGAATGGATAAAACTAAAGAATACAAAATTGTTGGATCTAGAAGGATTTGATAACAGATTTGGGTGGCACGCGTATTTATGGTTGGAGAAGAAGAAGAGTCATAAAGCTTTTGAAAACCACATCTTCCGGAAATCGTTAATCGAAGCATGGGATAGATATAAAAATTTACTGGAATCAGGAGTGCCACACTGCTTGTCCCCATTAGAGGTTATGTGTGTTAAGAAAATTAATATGAGAGGTAATTGGATTACTTATGGAGATCTGGTGGTTAAAGATGGAGAGAAATGGAGATTGAAGCCACATGAACAAGTAAAAGAATATGTATTTGATTGGTTGCATTATTATCAGATAAATGACATGTTTAAAAAAGATGTGAAAGAGAAGGGTTATATAGAAAAAGACTCAAAATTCCAAACAGATATAGTAAACAATGATTGTAAGATAATTTCAAAAATGTATAAAATGTTATTGGAATGGTATACGATGGATGAGGAAGTTAAGTCGGTAATGATTCATTGGGCCAGAGATTTTGGGTACAATATATATTTTGAAGATTGGGTTAAAGTATGGAATGATAACTTGAAGTTCACAGCATGTATTACGCTAAAGGAAAATGTTATGAAAATGGTATACAGATGGTACATTACACCGGTTAAATTAGCAAAAATGTTTAAAACTTGTAATAAGTGTTGGAAATGTAAAGAGAAAGAAGGAACCTTTATTCATATGTGGTGGGAATGTAAAAAAGTGAAGGGGTTCTGGGAGATGATATATAATGAGTTAAAGAAGATGTTGAAATATAGTTTTGTAAAGAAACCAGAAACCTTCCTTCTAGGAATAACGAGAAATGAAATAAACAAAAAGGACTGTAAACTTTTTCAGTATGCGATAACAGCAGCAAGAATATTAATGGCCCAAAAATGGAAGCAGGAAGAACTACCGACTCTGGAGGAATGGAGAATGAAGCTAACGGATTATGCAGAACTGGACAAGTTAACCGGGAAAATTAGATATCAACGAGATCACAAGTTCATTGAAGACTGGGAAAAATTTTCAGAGTATTTGAAGAGTGTATGTGATGAGCAAACAACGCTAGTGGGTTTTAAAGAAGCTTTGTGAAAAAATATGGAATATTGCAAGAATGCAAATAAGGCTATAAAGGTATTTTTAAGAGGCAATACTAAATTTGAGGAATGCGTAGACAAAAATTTAAATACGGATGATTGTCAGAGAAGCTGAGGGAAGTCCAAAAGTTGAAAATATGTTATCTGGGAAATTGTTTAATTGGAGATATTTGTGCAAAATTTAATTAAAAATTATATTTTTTTTTAAAAAGGAAAATCAGATCTATTGGTATTCAAATCACATCTTGAAACCCTTGTATAATTTGAGTGAGCAATATATTTATTGCAATAGTCAAAACAGATTAAGGTACATGGGGGGGGGGGGACAACATCAAGTCAGGTGTAAATAAAATTTGCTCCCCCAAGATAACGGACACATATCTCAAAAATAATAATTTCTGTCCAACTCAGGACCTTTATCTAAGCCCATTTCTCTTCTTCTGCAGAAGGCAGTTTGACATGGGTTTTTGCATTCCCAGACTCCCTCATAGTTTTCATCCTACCCCCAAGCCCCAGTTCTCATCAGCTGCGTGGCAGTCAACTCAGAGAGTAAAGAGGAACAACTGGAAATGACCTGGTCACGGCAGACAGCAGGAAATCTAAGCCCTGAGCCACTTGCATGGAGAGAGGAGGTTAATAACACCTTCACCGCATCCAGCTCTGTGATCGTTTCCGCAAGCGACTGGTTGACAGGGGAGAATGTTATCTGCACAGTGCAACTCCCATCCCTGCCTCAACCGAAAACAAGAGAGACTAGCAAGAAGAAAGGTAAGCGGGAAGCAGGCCTGCTCTCCACCCTGCAACTGGTGTCCCTAATTTCCCAGCAACCTCCTGAGCAGGAAAGAGATTACTGAAAATACATATCAACATAGCACCACTTAGAACAAACACAATATACCAATGTGGGCAGTGAGATCTGGCAATGCAAAAAAACGCTATCCTTCTTTTTCAAACCCAGCCTAGGCACCAATACCTTCTCTGGGAAGCCTGAGATGCTTTTTGTGCTGGGCACTTTCTTTATATATGTTGGGGGAAGGAGCTGTGTAAATATTCCTGGAATCTCCACTATCCCACCGTGTCCTCATCCAGCTCAAGGAAGCCCCATGTATGTGCCACAGATCTTCTTTCTCAGGTCCACACACACAAGAACTTCAGTTAAACCTCCTTTGCTCCTTAAAGCTTTCATTAAGGATTTACCCCCCTCTATCTACAGATTAAAAATCTTTGTCAGAGAATCTAGCAGAAAATAATCAGCACTAAATAGTGTCATAAATGTTGTCCATCAGTTATGTCTAAACTTAACAGCTGTTGCCTCTCCCTTTCTCTCATACTTTCCCCTGCCATCCATAAAGAAAGCAGCCTTCAGCGAGCACAGACAATCCTCACCGGCATGGTCATAGGGCTCAATGCAAGTGAAGTTTCTGTCCAGTGGGTGAAGAATGCCCTCCTTGAAGGTCACCATGTGAATCCCCGAGTCTTGAAGGGCAGCATCAAGGATTCTGTCTTGGCCATCAGCCAGGTGGTAGTCCCCTACTCTGACTGGAACAACGGCACTTCATACTCCTGTACGTTTACCCGCACAGCAGGCACCATGGAGCCCACCCAGAGGCCTGAGGAGAAATCCCAGGGTGAAAAGTGAGGCACATCCCTTTCTCAACCTATTCCAGTTTTCCCTCCTCAGCCTATCCCAAATTCAATAATATCCATGTAATTATGTAGCCTAAGGCTGAATAAAAGTGAGCAAACTCATAGATATCTAATGATGTGATCACTTGATTGAGGTGGTGGGTGGGTTCTGGAAAGAAGCGGGGAATGGATTACTCTCCCTGCAAAATCGTGTTGAAGTTTGATTATTGTAGAAGCAAAGTGTGTTTAGCACATAACCATGAAGTTCACTGGGGGAGCTTTTGGCTAGTCACTGTCTCTTAGCCTATCCTTTCTCACCAGGGTTTAGACTCTAACCGAGCACAGATTTTGTGTCCCCCCCCCACCCCCGCAGAGCATTTCCTATAAAAGGAAAGGTGAGTGGAGTGACAACAATTCATTTTGCTGACCAGGGTCTTCTGCCTATTGATCATGTTTACCCAGCATCAGTTGACCTAGATGAACAGGTGGTGCAGTTCTGTTGGAGGCAGATTTTCATATCCTTGTTCTGGTGGTCCAGTCCACACATTAGGGAGCTACGTAGCTAGCTGAGATTCCTGCTTTGCAGGGGGTTGGACTAGATGACCCTTGGGACCCTTCCAACTCAATAATTCCACGATTCAAGGAAAAGAAAATATCCATGGGAAAGAGGGTGAGAGAGAAGGCAAATCACAGGGGTGTAGAGACAAAGAGAGAGAGGACAAAGTTAAGCCATGCAGGCAAATCCTGAAGTTGGGTTAAAAAGAAAAAGGGTGGGTGCTGGCTCTCGGCAAGCAACCTTGGGTGGGTCTCCCTAACCGGTGGCTTCCGCTTGCTCTACATGGGCGATTTGGTGGGTGAGGGAGGACATACGCGCCTGCATGGTCTAAGGAGGGTGAGAGGCACCCATTGCTTAAGGCAGTGGTTCTCAGCCAGTGTGCCGTGGCACCCTGAGGTGCCTGGAATTGTGGTTAGGGGTGCCGCGGGCAACACTGGCCTCTGTCCCTCTTTCCTTCCCTCCCCCCTATGATGTCCTCTCACATTTCTGACTCTCAAAGTCGGGCACAGCTGTTTGTTGCAACCCTAATACAAGCCAAAGCTGCCTCTGGGGCTGGCCATTGGGTGCTGGTAGCCAGGAGGTGAGGCGGCCTTGAAGTAAGCAAGCAAGCGGGCGAGGAGCCAAGCCGGCCAGTCTGCCAGCCATTGCTGTTGGGAAGGGACAGAGAAGTGGGAAGCTGGGCAGGCAGGCACCATGCTGGCTTTTATTGTGCTTGCTGTATGCAATGCCTGCCTGGAAGCTGAGTGCCCAGTCCTGAAGGGGAGCTTTTCTTCCATGCAGGCCCGGCAGGGCCCACTGCTGCCATTGCTGCTCCCTGGGTAAGATGCTGGCCTCACTTTCACCCTTGGCCTGTCTCAGTTGGGCCTGCAAGTCTGGGGACATCTTCTTCCCAGGCCCCCGTGGGGCTGTGTGAGGAGGCACCTCTCTTTAGGGCAGGAAGGGGGCAGCTCTGAGACCAGGAGCAGCAGGGGTGGCCTTTCAGGTGCTATCGAACTATATATTCCATTCTCATTGATGAGCCATTGGTTATGCTGGCTGGGCTATGTTGGAAATGAGTGTGCAACAAGGGTTACTGGTGGTGAAATAAGGGAGGTTAACATGAATAAATTTGAAAAAACCCTTGCTGATGACTTAAAAAAAACAACCTGCCCCTGGGAAATTTAAGAAGTTTGTCGTTCCATCTCAAATTAGTGTTTGAGATCCAAGGTATGACAGTACTAGTTGTTGGGAATGGCAGGAGTGGTGTTTGCAAGCTGCCCCATAGGCACCTAATTAGCCACTGTAAGAAAATAATGGAGGAAGAGATGGACTGCTGGCTGATCCAAAACATTATTCTTATGTTCTTATCCTTTCTTTAAGGGTGTTCTGGGTCTGAGCCCAACCAATAATTTACTGACGTGATGTGGTCATAGTGCTCCACATCATAGTGCTCCAAACCTCTCTGGTATTAGCTAGTGATAGAGGAAGCATAATGTGACAGAGTTCAGTCACAATGTCCTCACTAGACCACCACAGGCAAACGGTAAAGCGGAGGAGGAAATCACTGAAGCAAATAATGCCAGCAGAATTTATTGAGAAAAATTAGGAGGATAAGAATGTGTAGCAGCTCCGTATCAACACAGTTGGGTCATGACTACCATATTTGGGGATGGGACAGAAAGAGCAGGGGATAAAGTTTTTTTCCTTGTTCTCCCCCTCTAAAACAAGGTGCGTTCAGTCGCCTTCAGTGAAGGCAACCTGAAGCCTCCGGAGCGTGGCGGGAGTCCCTGCTGCGCTCTGGAGGCTTCAGGCAGCTACCTTGGAAGCTTGGAGAGCAAGAGGGGTCGGTGTGCATAAAATGAATTTTCAAGTCAGACTTTTTGTGCACTTTCCCCCCTTTTCTTTATGGAAGCAATTAACCCATCACGGATTCTTCCTTAAGCTGGGCTTAAAAAGGCAATGGGCTTGCAGCTACCTTTCACTTTGTAGCGTAGCTGCAATTTAGCCCAGGTCCCTTTGAAAATTCACTTGGCTCCTCATCTTCCCTGGGTGCTAACTTGACATTGAGATTGGGAAGGGGGCTTGACATCAGGAGGGTGTCACTGGCCATACACTGAAAGATTGTCAGTGAACTACCCTGCATGAGGGGATATGGGGTGGGCTGCCTGCGTACACGTGTGTCTTGCGGGGGACCCCCATATCCCATTTACACTGAGGAGCCCTAGTTCCCCTGGCTGGGGGGCTGGGAGGGATACACGCCCAATGCCTAAGCCAAGGTCTTCCTATATTTGAAAGGTTAATAAAGTTGTGGCCAAATTTCCATTCCATAACACGTTGTCATGAGTCATTATTCCTTTCTGGTTGTCCCTGGGAAGGTCGCCACCTGGTCACGCAATGTTTACCCAGCCTAGGGTGACTTAGATGAACAGGTGGTGCCCTTGTATTGGAGGCAGATTTCTATATCCTTGCCTTGGTGGCCCATTCCACACATTTAAGGAGCTACCTAGGTAACTGTGCAGAGGTTATGGGATATGGTGTGGGATGTAATACATCAGTACAGTCAATTACAACATGCTTTGCTTCCTAGAGTGGACACTGTCAGGCGGGTGTTTAACTTCCTGTTCCCCCTGTAAGTGACTCAGCCGATGGGCATGATTCTATAAAAGGGCAAGTCACGCAGTCATCTTGTCTCAGTTAACTCTCAGTTCATTCTTGCAACCATTTGGGCCCATCCTCACAAAGGATGTAAGCCACGTTGTATGTTTGCAACCTGAAGCTTAAAGCCTGCCTTCTAGGATGTGTACTGTGAACAACTTGTGAGTAAACGTATTGTTATAATTTTAAAGACAGACTTGTGAGTCTTTATTGTATTTTAAGAGGGAGATTTAAGAGGGACTATTCAGCTCATAGTAGTGAGGAAAGGATGTTCCCCCCAAAGTCTGCTTTATATATATTATTTACACAATTAGCCCCATGTTATTGGCTAATTCTAGGATTTTCCTGTAGGCCAATCAGATTGCGGATTCATTTCCACCTGGAGTTGGGTTCGGTGGCTCCTGCAGACCAATCAGACTCCTGCATTCTGGATCCTATTGTTCTAGGACCAATCAGACTGCTGCATTTTGGATCCTATTCAATTAAGTACATAACATCTGCCAACTAGCTTCCGTGAATATAGAGGGGATTTGCTCTGCTACATCACTCACTAGCATAAGTGAAGGAAGGATACTACTTAACAAATATTTCCTTGCCTATTACAGTGGTACCTCGGGTTAAGTGCTTAATTTGTTCTGGAGGTCCGTACTTAACCTGAAACTATTAGCACCACTTTAGCTAATGGGGCCTCCTGCTGCTGCTGCGCCGCATGTTCCACGATTTCTGTTCTCATCCTGAAGCAAAGTTCTTAACCTGAGGTAATATTTCTGGGTTAGCGGAGTCTGTAACCTGAAGCGTATGTAACCCGAGGTACCACTGTCTCCTAAACATCCCCACAAGGGGGATGTTTTTAGCTATCCTTGGTTTTCAAACCCAGCCTGTGCAGCAACCTGAACATGCCAATAACTTCTCTGGAAAGGCTGGGATGCTGGGTGTCTTCCATGTAATGTTGGGAAATGGACGCTTGCCCCTTCCTCCGAGTGGGTGGCTGTTGCAGATCCTCGTGCTTGGTCGCCGTCCCCAAGCAGCCAGAACGCAGATGGTCAGGTAGCCATCCAAGAGTTCCCCATGACACCTGGGGAGCTGGCAGGATAAGAGGCCTGCTTGGGTGAGAGGGGATGCTTTGCTGCTGAAAGGGCACTAGCAGCCCACCTGCCAGGGCAGCCACTGAGACATAAAATCCAGCAACAACTTTTGCCCTCAATATTTTTTTTCCAGAACCTCTGCTATCTGACTGTGTCCTCATCCAGCTCAAGTAAGCCTAACGGGCCACAGATTTTCCCACTTGGGGACACACGCACAATGACCCCCGGTCTTCTGTAGAGATTTGAAATGTCAGAGATGTGTAGGTATGTTGTACATGAATAAGGGGCTCAGACAAACATTAGCCAATCACTGCTCCCTCAACACAAGGCAGCAGAGAATTAAGGTCACAATGTTCCTTCTCCATTTTGCGAATTCTGCATCTGAAACTGACACGGGGACAAACAGAAGAAGACACCTTTATCCCGGTATGCCTCCCCTTTATCATATACACAGCCCAACAAGACAATGACAATAACCCACCAACAGCATACAAATCAATATGGCTAACCTGATCCAAAACACCCACCCACCCCATTCACACACCAAAACAAAGATCACCACAGCCAATCACAAATAACCACACCATAGGCCAACCCCAACCTCTCTCACCACCAATGAAACACAAATAAACAGCAGAGAACCAGCACCAGCAACGCTGACACGAAACCCTACATACATTAAGCAAAATAGAAACATCGCCACACGACCCCACCCCCACCCATCTTTCACCCCCTCCACCCCCTCCACCCCACTAATATCTCAACAAATGAAACTGATTTGTAAAAATGTTACATGGAAAAAATACAAGAGACATTACACATACTTCTGTAAAACAAGAAAATCTTTAATTAAAAAAAAAGAAGTTGCACACCAAAAAAAATAAAAATAAAGAAGATAAGGGAAGAAGATTATATATTTTGTGTTCTCATGTTGTACTTTTATGTTCTGAACTGTCTGTGATCTGCTAATGAAGGGTGGTATACAAATTAAATAATAACAATAGGCAAACTTCCCCATAGCTATTAGGATTTCCCACAAACCCTAATTACACTCAAGTTTCTGGAAGGACTTTCTGAGAACCTCACAGAATAGCCTCTTCTTGGATTGTCTGGGTGGAGCTACTGATGGGAAACATATCTCACCGTAGTCTCCCAGGATGCTATATAAGCAGGCCTGATGGCCCACATGCCATTCACACTGAATCCTAAAATGTGGGCCAAGATCTTCTTACCAGTTGTGGGACTCCTTTGCGGGGCCAGCCTGCCACTGACTTCTTCCCAGGCAGCTCCAGGTGAGTTTGCTTCTCTTTCCTTCCTCTTTGCAGCCTTCTCATGCATGTACCTGAAATCTGGGCATCTCGAACCACCCTTAGAAACAGAGCAATAACAACCCTTGGATTCTCTTCCTCCAACTTTTCTGCTTATTTGCCAGCAGTAAACGGGATAGTCATTCCAAAGGGACGGATCCCATGGTTCCAAAACAAATACCCTTTTATTAAGATTTGTAAGTGCCTGTTTCTGTGTGCTGAGATCTTTGTAGGTTTAGGGGACAGAAGAGACATTCTTCTGATAGGGGCAAAGAAGGCAGGGCTCTCACAAACTATGTAGCTGAAATTATTTAGCTGAGATTCCTGCATTACAGGGGGAGGTTCTATCTATACAGGGAGCGCAGCTATCATCAAGCCTTGACCGAAGAACGGTACACTCCTATCTGGGATGGTCTTCCTCTTCCACCGAGCGTGCAGCTTAGAGAGGGACACACATGAAACAGGGAGACACCTGCCTAGCCAGCCAGGTCAGTCAGATCAGCCCTGGCGATCAATGGGGTGACAGATGTCTTTGTTAATAGTATCTCTTGGAGTGCTAAATGGCACTATTTAGCAGGAATAAATCCCAAATAAATTCCTCATCATTATATATTTTACATGGCTGTTTATATGTATATATTTTAAATGTTTTAGGATGCCCTATATTTGTAATGCCTAGAAAAGTTTTGATGAAGTAAGTAAGTAAGCATTACAGGGGGTTGGACTAGATGAGCATTGGGGTCCCTTCCAATTCTGGAATTCTATGATTCCACGAAAAGAGAATATGCATGGGAAAGAGGGTCAGAGAGAAGGAAAATCACAGGGGTGTAGAGAAGAACAGATGGCAGACAAAAGCAAGACTGGAAGGATTGAGATGAAAAGCAGAGGTTTTAACCTACGGCATTTATTCATTTGCTGATTTTTAAATCATTTCTAAGCTGCTTAAATCTTAAACAGTGCACTAAGCAACATAAAAACTGTAAAGCAATATCAGAAAAACCATAAAAACAGTAATATAAAGTCATTAAAAAACCAGGAATTTCATCTGTCTGTCTGTCTGTCTATCTATTTTGTTCCCTTAGGTGCAATATTGGTGTGGCTCTGTCCCCGAAGGAATGATGATTATGTGGCAGGCAGGTGGCCAATCAGGTAACACCTCCGGCATAATAAGTGCACGCACTGGTAGCACAGCATACCTCAGCGTTGCACAACTAGAGGTTTCGCAGGTGGGAGGGGGCAAAGAGAGAGAGGACAAAGTTAAGCCACGCAGGCAAATCCTGAAGTTGCGTTAAAAAGAAAAAGGGTGGAGAGTTTCCTTGTTCTCTGGCTCTTGGCAAGCAACCTTGGGTGGGTCTTCCTAACCGGTGGCCTCCGCTTGCTCTACATGGGCGATTTGGTGGGTGGGGGAGGACACACACGCCTGCATGGTCTAAGGAGGGTGAGAGGCACCCATTGCTTAAGGCAGTGGTTCTCAACCAGTGTGCCCTGGCACCCTGAGGTGCCCTGGATTGTGGTCAGGGGTGCCGCGGGCAACACTGGCCTCTGTCCCTCTTTCCTTCTCTCCCCCCTATGATGTCCTCTCACATTTCTGACTCTCAAAGGCTTGCACAGCTGTTTGTTGCAACCCTAGTACAAGCGAAAGCTGCCCCTGGGGCTGGCCATTGGGTGCTGGTAGCCAGGAGGTGAGGCGGCCTTGAAGTAAGCAAGCAAGCGGGCGAGGAGCCAAGCTGGCCAGTCTGCCAGCCATTGCTGTTGGGAAGGGACAGACAGGTGGGAAGGTGGGCAGGCAGGCAGGCACCATGCTGGCTTTTATTGTGCTTGCTGTATGCAATGCCTGCCTGGAAGCTGAGTGGCCAGTCCTGAAGGAGAGCCTTTCTTCCATGCAGGCCCGGCAGGGCCCACTGCTGCCATTGCTGCTCCCTGGGTAAGATGCTTCGCCAGTCTCCGTTGGGCCACCAAGTCTGGGGACATCTTCTTCCCAGGCCCCCGTGGGGCTGTGTGAGGAGGCACCTCTCTTTAGGGCAGGAAGGGGGCAGCTCTGAGACCAGGAGCGGCAGCAGCAGCACCCGGAGTTCTCCCAAGGAGAGGAGATGGGAGAGGAGGCTGAGGGAACCCTCCACCAGGGAGGGTGTGTGGAAAAGGGTGAGAAGCTGCCAGCTCTGCAGGCAAGGGTGACATAAATGGGCTTCTGAGCCCCACACGGGTGCCACAGAAAGAATGTAGTTGGTCAAGGGAGCCATGGACTCAAAAAAGGTGAAAACCTCTGGCTTAAAGAGAAGGCTCAAAGAAGGAGAGGGTGGATGTGTAGGGAAACCGCATGAGACACAGTGTCTCTTCATCAGACAGTTCGTTTTCTCTTTCTCTCTCCTCTTCTGCTTCCTTTAGCCAGCAACGGTGTGTAAAAAGTAAGCAAATGCTCAGGTTTTAATGCATAAATGGGAATTTTTTCTGGGTAAACGTAGGAATGTGTTGCGTCTTTAAAGCATCCCGAGGCTCTTTGTTGATGCTGCAAACAGGGCGACTTCTCTGGAAATAAATGGCGCAGTACATTATTACTGACTTAAGTGCAAATTTAAGATACCAGAAAATGCAAAGGAAGAGAATGTGCCTTGATTTTTATTAGTCCCCTCATTGCTTTCCTTTTTGTGAAGGGCTTGGAGAACAGGTTGGGGTTTTTAATTGCCGGTAAACCTGGTGTACATGCGAGACGTTTACCCTTTTCTTGTACATGCAAGTCTTGTGACCAGTGTCTGATGATCATTGTGACTTGGCATCTGGCAAAGAATGGGATGATCCTTGGACTGTTCATTGCCTTTTGCTCTGCTGCATGCTAACTCTGCTAGATTGATATCAAATATTAATAAAGAAATATTTGTTTTGGAACCAAGGGATCTTTCCCTTGGAAATGACTATCCCAATCTTCTATAGAGGACAAGATGCAGAATTAGCAAAACAGAGAAGGAACACTCTGACCTTACACCTCCCCTGCCTTGTGACTAGACTCATTTGTGAGAAAGGAATAACATACATGTCAACTGTCCTGAATTTTCTGAGGCTGCCTTGAAAGCAATTAAATAAAAAAACATGATGTGTATACATAAGCTAAAGCAAAATAACAAGATGTACACGGAAAGGCTGATTTGAAAATTTAATTTATGGGAATGGCAGTGTATTCAGCATCAAATGTTATTGAGCAAAAGATAGATGGAGTAGCTTGCCTATAGCACGTCTTTCCAACATAAGTAGTATCAAAAATACTCCAAAAACTACTATTGCCATAATCAGATCACTTGAAATGATAAATAATTGTTGTTCACCAATCTTATTATCTAACGAGCCTCACTGAAAAAATATTTTCTGGTGCCCTGATTGTATATTGAACAGACAGCAGTAATTTTTTGTGTTTGGCTTTTGTCAGGTCTGCAGGCATGCACGGAAGTTTCTGATAAGAATTAATGAGCCTCTGACAGGTTTATAGTCCATTTATTTACAATAACACAGAGAGAGTGGCATCAAGCCAACTTCTGTCAAGACATCAGTTGCTCAGTCTGAATCTCCTGCCCTTCCGCAACAGGATGCGCCAGTTCCCCATCATCCTGCCCCTGTGCTTCCCTTGCTCCTTAACCCTTTCCTGCCTCCTAATCCGGGGGAAGGAGCAGCATCACCGCTGCTCTCAAAGGCAGAGCCTTCCAGACGCTCCCTCCCTCCTGGTTACCTGGCAAAGTTATCAGGGCTGTCTATTTCCCTCCACCTCCAACTGTGATACTTCTGAATCTGCTATTCTCCCTGTTACTGGGAATCTTGAAGGAAGGGGCCCCCAGTTCTTCTCTTCCTCCTCTGTTAAAGGCTGCTCTGTCTGGGACTGTCTTTCCTCCTGGTCAGAGTCAGACCAGTCTCTGGCATCCAACGCTGGCCAGCCCCTGACAGCTTTACAGCAATACAATGAGGAAGGAAGTATTTGGATACGGGTGTTTCATGCTAGCTACTCCATGTTTTTGCTCATTAGCATTTGTTGCTGAATACACTACTATTCACATAAAATGAATTTTCAAGTCAGACTTTTTGTGCACTTCCCCCGCTTTTCTCTATGGAAGCAATTAACCCATCACAGATTGTTCCTTAAGCTGGGCTTAAAAAGGCAATGGGCTTGCAGCTACCTTTCACTTTGTAGTGTAGCTGCAATTTAGCCCACGTCCCTTTGAAGAGTCACTTGGCTCCCCATCTTCCCTGGGCGCTTACTTGACATTGAGATTGGGAAGGGGGCTTGACATCAGGAGGGTGTCACTGGCCATACACTGAAAGATTGTCAGTGAACTACCCTGCATGAGGGGATATGGGGTGGGCTGCCTGCGTACACATGTGTCTTGTGGGGCACCCCCATATCCCATTTACACTGAGGAGCCCTAGTTCCCCCAGCTGGGGGGCTGGGAGGGATACACGCACAATGCCTAAGCCAAGTTCTTCCTATATTTGAAAGGTTAATAAAGTTGTGGCCAAATTTCCATTCCATAACACGTTGTCATGAGTCATTATTCCTTTCTGGTTGTCCCTGGGGGCTGGGAAGGTCACCACCTGGTCACGCAATGTTTACCCAGCCTAGGGAGACTTAGATGAACAGGTGGTGCCCTTCTATTGGAGGCAGATTTTTATATCCTTGCCTTGGTGGCCCATTCCACACATTTAAGGAGCTACCTAGGTAACTGTGCAGAGGTTATGGGATATGGTGTGGGATGTAATACATCAGTACAGTCAATTACAACATGCTTTGCTTCCTAGAGTGGACACTGTCAGACGGGTGTTTAACTTCCTGTTGCCCCTGTAAGTGACTCAGCCGATGGGCATGATTCTATAAAAGGGCAGGTCATGCAGTCATCTTGTCTCAGTTAACTCTCAGTTCATTCTCGCAACCATTTGGGCCCATCCTCACAAAGGATGTAAGCCACGTTCTATGTTTGCAACCTGAAGCTTAAAGCCTGCCTTCTAGGATGTGTACTGTGAACAACTTGTGAGTAAACTAATTGCTATACTTTTAAAGACAGACTTGTGAGTCTTTATTGTATTTTAATAGGGAGAAAAGGGGACACCAGGAATAAACCATCTAGGTAAGTCAGATTGGATTAGTCATCTTGTAGAGATTCAAACAAATCTACTGAAATATACTCGGAGTCGAGTGTGGATTTCATGCTCTTTCTTCAGCTCATAGTAGCAAGGAATGGAAGTTCCCCCCAAACGTCTGCTTTATATATATTATTTACACAATGGAGCCCACGTGATTGGCTAATTCCGGGATTCTCCTGTAGGCCAATCAGGTTGCAGATTCACTTCCACCTGGAGCTAGATTGGGTGGCTCCTGCAGACCAATCAGACTGCTGCATCCTATTGTTCTAGGACCAATCAGACTGCTGCATTCTTAATCCTATTCAACTCAGTACATAACATCTACCAACTAGCTTCTGTGAATATAGAGGGAATTTGCTCTGCTACATCACTCACTAGCGTGAGTGAAGGAAGGATACTACTTAACAAATATTTCCTTGCCTATTACAGTGGTACCTCAGGTTAAGTACTTAATTCGTTCCGGAGGTTCGTACTTAACGTGAAGCACAACTTTAGCTAATGGGGTCTCCTGCTGCTGCTGCTGCGCTGGCGCTGCACAATTTCTGTTCTCATCCTGAAGCAAAGTTCTTAACCTCAGGTAATATTTCTGGGTTAGTGGAGTCTGTAACCTGAAGCGTATGTAACCCGAGGTACCACTGTATCCTAAACATCCCCACAAGGGATGAGAGAGGAGAGAGAACTAGACTCCCTAGAAATCATCAAAACAATGATCAACATTCTACACTCTAAACAACGTTTCTATGAATATGGAGGGGAAAACTCCAGATTACTAGCAAATAGATGTAGGAAAAAAGCACTCAAAACAAGAATACACTGCATCACCAAAACAGATGACAATATAACATTCTCCCCCAAAGAAATAACGTCAGAATTTGCAGAATTCTACTCCAACCTATACACCTGTCAGGGAACTGCCATCGGACGGAAGGGAGGTGAAAGGGCTCACACAGGTTGGGAGAGACTCAGCAGCTGAAGAGGGAACCAGTAGGGGGAGAGGAGCTGAGCGGAGGGAAAGTGAGCTGGAGGGATGGCTCAGAGACACTTCCAGCGAAAACAGTGGGGAGGTTTCAGGACCTCCTGTAGGGACACCCACTCCTCGCCGGAAACTGACACGCAGAGAGTCCAGAAGACGTGTTTCCGTTAAGGAGCTTTTATGTTGGAAGCGATTCCGAAAGCAACCACTGTCGGAATCTGCTAGTGACTAGAGGAGCCATGTCTGAGGGGCTCCGTCACAGACAGAGGTTTGTGGACTTGAACAAACTCTGAGGGGATACGATTTTACGCACAAGCAGCTCATCATCCCATCACAGCATTCCGACAGTCTTTGAAAGCAGCTTGTGCAGGAGAAGGCATCATGAGCAACCCAGCCGGAACCGGAGAAGCAGGAGCTGGAGCGGGTCCAAGCCTGGAAGAAAGGTACCGGGTGTTGGAGGTCCAGCTAGCGATGCAGACGGCGAGGCTTGAGGAGAGGAGGGCTCAGGATGCAGACAAAAGGGAAAGCCACCCAGCTCGCCAGAAAGGTACCAGGATTGGTGCAGAAGTTTGGGGGGGAGCCCAAAGACTATCATGGCTTTCGGACAGAGATGCAATATGCCCTCAATCTGCAGTTTGATGAATTCCCTGACGAGGAATCACGAGTGGCTTTCGTGATTGAGCATCTTGAAAAGGGGGCGAGAGACTGGGTTAGACCCTGATGGCAGCGAATAGTGACGTCCTAAAGGACACGATGAAGTTCTTTCGCGCCATGGATCTGATGTTTTCCAGCGATATTGAACAGGGAGTGGTGCGCAGACAGTTAATGGCTTGCAAACAGGGGAGCCGATCTGTCCGTGAGTACTGGACTGAGTTCACCATGCTGGTTCACAGATTGGGGTGGGACTTATCGGCGGAACCCATTCAAATGCTCTTTGAAGAAGGGCTTTCTTCGGCTGTGAAAGACGAACTTTCCCGGGCGCCCAGGGCGGAGTCTATGGACCAGCTGACCAAATCAGCGCTGACCATAGGAGCGCGCCAGGAGGCGAGAGCATTGGAGAGGCGGGAAGGGAAAGGGGAACGTTGGAAGGAGTTCCGCATTCCAGACATTCCAGAGCCAACTTTCCCGCCGGCAGAGCCGATGGAAATCGGAACAGCGCGCGCGCGCAGTTTCAAAGCCCAGTGAGGGGGAAAGAAGGAGGGAAAAGGCGCCCGGAAATGCTATCTCTGCCAACAGCCAGGTCACTTTGCCAGAGTCTGCCCCCAGAGGAAGGAATGGCAAGGGATGGTAGGAGCTGTGGAGGGAAGAGAGGAAGAAATACCGGAGCAAGTAAAGCCAACGCCTGGCTGCCACTGTCGGGGCACAGCAGCCAGGCCAAAGAGCAGTGAGAGTGCCCACGCCAGAACCTCCTAAACCCGCCCTAGTGATAGAAGTGACGCTAGAGCTGCCAAACGGACACCCTCTAAAGATAAAGGCGCTGTTGGACTCAGGCAGCTCCTGCAATTTCATGAGCAAAGAGTTTGCAGCTGAACACCAGATACAGACGATCCCTTTAAGCAACCCCTGCAGGTGACCACGATCGATGGCAGGGAGCTGTTGGGAGGAGAAGTCAGCTTGCAGACCGTCCCAATGATAATGAAGGTAGCAAGGCACACCGAACTGATAGCTTTTAATGTGGCCACCTTGGGAGGAGCTCCCATTATATTGGGGATGAGCTGGCTAGCGTTACATGATCCGCTGGTGGGCTGGCATCAGAGAGTGGCTTCTTTTGGTTCAGCACATTGCTTAGAACACTGCAAAGAGGGAAAGGGTTTGGCAGGGGCCCAAGCCACCCTAGCAGGGACTGAAGTAACGGAGAACGTGAAGGTACCACGACAATATGCAGATCTCCGTGACGTCTTCAGCGAAAGGGAAGCTGACCAACTACCCCCGCATAGACCCTTTGACTGTCAAATCAATTTACTCCCTGGGGCACAGCTCCCTGTAGGCAAGCTGTACGCCATGTCAGACAGAGAGATGCAGGAGCTAAGAGAGTTCATTGACAAGAACCTGAAGAGAGGGTTCATCAGAGAGTCCAGGGCGGTGGGGGCAGCCCAGTGTTTTTGTGGATAAAAACACGAACAAGCCGAGGCTGGTGTGTGACTTCAGGGCCTTAAATGCAGTGTCAGAACCAGTGGCCTTCCCTATGCCCAGGATTGACGACATTTTGACAAGGGTGCGGAAGGGAAAGATTTTCACAAAGCTGGACCTAAGGGGGGCGTACAACCTGATACGAATGAGGAAGGGTGATGAATGGAAAACCACCATGTTCACCCCTTTAGGGGCATTTGAATATTTGGTTATGCCCTTCGGCCTCCAAGCAGGCTCCGCATGCTTTCAATCGTTTATGAACCACGTCCTGGGGCCTTTGCTTTACAAGAATTGTGTGGCCTTCTTAGACGACGTGTTGGTGTATTCTGAGAATGAGGAGCAGCATGTGAGAGACGTCAGAGAAGTGTTGAGCAGGCTGCAAGCCAACCAGCTGTGGGTGAAACTGGAGAAGTGTCAGTTTCATACCAAGGAGGTGGAATTCCTGGGGTATCGCCTGTCAGACAAGGGATTGGCCATGGATCCCGGCAAGGTCCAGGCGGTGCTGGAATGGAAAACACCCAAAACAAGGAAGGATGTGCAGAGGTTCCTAGGATTTGGGAACTTCTATCGTAAGTTCATCCGAAACTTTGCCCACCTGACGGCGCCCATTACGGACTGTCTCAGCAGTAAGAAGAAGTTCGTTTGGACTGAGGAGGCGGAGCGAGCATTTGAGGAACCTTCGCCTCGGAACAACAACTCCTGCATGTGGATTTACAAAAACCGATGAGAGTGGAAACTGACGCATCAGACAGAGCGATTGGGGCGGTGCTTCTGCAGCCAGGGAAGGAGGAGTCAGAGTGGAGACCGTGTGCCTTTTTTTTGCGAAAGCTGAACAAATCCGAGAGGAACTACACGGTGTATGACCGAGAACTACTAGCCATTCATGAGGCGTTCCGGAGATGGAGGCACCTGCTAATTGGCGCACAACATAAGGTGCAAGTGTGCACTGACCACAAGAACCTAGAGTATTGGAGGACGGCACGAGTGCTCAACCAACGGCAAGTGAGATGGGCCCAGGAGTTCTCCAAATTTAACTTTGAGATTTGTTACGTGCCAGGCCCAGAGAACATTAGGGCGGACGCTCTCTCACGCAAACCTGAATATTTGGAGGGTGAGGGAGCACCCGAAGAGAGACATGTCATTCCAGAGGACCGCTGGGTGTGTGGGGCGGCATTGGTGGGACAAAGAGAACTGGTAGAGGAAACAGAGAATGATGAATACGCCCAGAATAAGCTCAGAGGTCTTAGGGGTGAGGGAGAGGAACCAGGGGTTTCGAGGAAAGAAATGGAGCTTTGTATTACAAAGGGGCACTGTATATCCCTGAAGGAGACTTAAGGGGGGGGTACTCAAGCAGTTGCACGACAGCCCTACGGCGGGGCATTTTGGACAACACAAAACCATGTGGTTGGTCACCAGGGAATTTTGGTGGCCCAAGGTGAGGGAAGATGTACGTGAGTATGTAAGAGGGTGCGAGCAATGCCAGCGAGCCAAAGGGGAAAGGCGGGCGCCGGCGGGGCTATTAGAACCCTTACCAACCCCAGAACGACCTTGGGAGGCAGTGTCGATAGATTTTATGACTGATCTGCCGAAGTCCAAAGGGAAAACAGCCATCATGGTGGTGGTGGACCTACTAACAAAGATGTGCCACTTTGTAGCTTGCTCGCATGCAGTCACGGCGGAAGAGACAGCGAAGTTATTTGTAGAACACATTTTTAGGTTGCACGGGGTGCCATTGAGGGTGGTCTCAGACCGAGGAAAACAATTTACTTCCAGGTTCTGGAGGAAGCTCATGAGCTTACTGCAGGTGGAGGTCAATTCTTCGACTGCCCGGCACCCTGAAACCAACGGGCAGGCGGAAAGAGCAAACGGTGTCCTCCAGCAATACCTGAGGTGTTATGTCAATGACAGAGAGAATGACTGGGTAGAAAAGTTGGCGCTGGCGGAATTTGCCTACAACAATGCCGAGAATGTGTCCACAGGGATGAGCCCCTTCTTGGCTAATTATGGGTGTCATCCCAGGGCTTTCCCAGGGGGAGATGGGGAGAGATGGAGCGTCCCGGCAGCCGAGCATTTTGTAGAAGAAATGGAAGCAATCCATTGTCAGCTCCAACTCAACTTAGAAAGGGCGAAGGAAGAATACAAGAGGCAAGCAGACAAGAACCGAAGGGAAGGCGAAACCATAAGGGTGGGAGATAGGGTGTGGCTGTCAACCCAAGGGTTGCCGTTCAAAGGAGGTTGTAAGAAATTAAGACCCAGGAGGTTGGGTCCCTTTGAGGTCATTCAACAGGTCAACCCAGTGGCTTTCAGGCTCCGGTTACCCAACCACATGAAACTGCACCCAGTATTTCACAGGTCGTTACTGTCACCGTACGAAGGGGGACGAGAAGGGATGGCCACTCGGGGACCGGTCATAGAAGAAAGAGAATGCAGCAGCCATGTGGCAGAAATCCTCGACGCCAGGTGGAAGGGGAATCAGGTGGAGTATTTGGTAGCGTGGGAAGGAGAACCGGAGTCAGAAAACACTTGGGTAATGGCCGAAGATATCAATGACGAGGTATTGATAGAAACGTTCCATCAAAGGTTCCCAAGGAAACCTCAGCCTGTGGAGAGGTTCCGGAGGGAATACTTTGGGACCACTGATGAGGAGGAGGAGTTGGAAGGCTTCCCGGACTCGGAAGGGGAAGGGAGATGGACTCTGAGGAGGAGGAGTACTTGAGACCAGGAACCGCAACAGGTGGAGAGAAGTGTTCGAGACATCGGAAGATGAAGGAAGTTCATTCCGGGTTTTGCCTCCTCACCGCCCGTAGAGGAGGGGCGAGAGGGGGTGAAGGGGGCCCTGGAGGGGAGGTGGATGTCAGGGAACTGCCATCGGACGGAAGGGAGGTGAAAGGGCTCACACAGGTTGGGAGAGACTCAGCAGCTGAAGAGGGAACCAGTAGGGGGAGAGGAGCTGAGCGGAGGGAAAGTGAGCTGGAGGGATGGCTCAGAGACACTTCCAGCGAAAACAGTGGGGAGGTTTCAGGACCTCCTGTAGGGACACCCACTCCTCGCCGGAAACTGACACGCAGAGAGTCCAGAAGACGTGTTTCCGTTAAGGAGCTTTTATGTTGGAAGCGATTCCGAAAGCAACCACTGTCGGAATCTGCTAGTGACTAGAGGAGCCATGTCTGAGGGGCTCCGTCACAGACAGAGGTTTGTGGACTTGAACAAACTCTGAGGGGATACGATTTTACGCACAAGCAGCTCATCATCCCATCACAACACCTCCCATAACCCACCAGAGAAGGAAATCAGAAAATTTCTAGCAGGACTGACCATGCCTACCCTAACTGATGAGGAACAGGAATTCATGGACAGCCCTATCACCCCAGAGGAAATAGATGCGGTCCTCAAAAACCTGAAACCACACAAAGCCCCAGGCCCAGACGGCTTCACAGCAGAATTCTATAGGAAATTCAAAGAACCCTTGATGCAAAAACAACATTGTTGTTTTTGTTTCAAACATTGCAAATTGTGGACAAAATGGACTGCTTCAAGAAGTGGCAGAGAGACATTTCTAGATTTGTCTGGCAGGGCAAGAAGCCCAGAATAAAATTTAAGATATTAACTGATGTAAAGGAAAGGGGTGGATTTGCCCTGCCAGACTTTAAACTTTACTATGAATCAGCAACTTTCTGCTGGTTGAAAGAATGGCTGCTTCTTGAAAATACAGATGTTTTGGATTTAGAAGGTTTTAACAATGTATTTGGATGGCATGCATATCTGTGGTATGATAAGGTCAAAGCACATAAAGCATTTAAGAATCATATCATCAGGAAAGCATTGTTTAATGTCTGGATAAGATATAAGGATTTATTGGAAAACAAAACCCCAAGGTGGTTGTCACCGATGGAAGCAAAAGCACAGAAAAAGCTCAATATGGAGGCCAAGTGGCCGAAATATTGGGAAATTCTGGAACAAGAGGGAGATAGACTGGAATTGCAGAGTTTTGAGAAACTAAAAAATAAAGTGCGAGATTGGCTTCATTATTATCAGATAATGGAGGCATATAAATCGGACAAGAAAATTGGTTTCCAGGTGGAAAAATCAAAATTAGAAACAGAACTGTTAGTACCCAAAACTAAGATTTTGTCAAACATGTATAACTTGCTGTTGAAATGGAATACTCAGGATGAAACGGTGAAATCTGCTATGATTAAATGGGCACAAGATGTTGGACATAACATAATGATGGCTGACTGGGAACAGTTATGGACCACAGGTATGAAGTTTACGGCATGCAATGCCTTAAGAGAGAATATTATGAAAATGGTATACAGGTGGTATATGACCCCAGTCAAGCTTGCAAAAATCTATCATTCGCCCAATAATAAATGTTGGAAATGTAAAGAAACTGAAGGTACATTCTTTCACCTTTGGTGGACGTGCCCAAGGATTAAGGCTTTCTGGGAGATGATCTATAATGAATTGAAAAAGGTATTTAAATATACCTTCTTGAAGAAACCAGAGGCCTTTCTCCTGGGCATAGTCGGCCAATTGGTGCCAAAGAAGGATAGAACCTTTTATGTATGCCACAACAGCAGCAAGAATACTCATTGCAAAGTATTGGAAGACACAAGATCTACCCACTCTGGAAGAATGGCAGATGAAGGTGATGGACTATATGGAACTGGCGGAAATGACTGGCAGAATCCGAGACCAGGGAGAAGAGTCGGTGGAAGAAGATTGGAAGAAATTTAAAGACTATTTACAGAAATATTGTAAAATTAATGAATGTTAGAATGATGTTGGATAGAAATTAAGTGGTTTTCAGCTGTAATACTATAAGGGAATATGAAAAATGGATTATTAATAGGTAAAAATTTAACGTTACATTATTTTAAGATTAAAGACTAGGATAAACAAAGAGGGCAAGGATTTGCTGAACCAACAAACTGAACTGGAATACAAAAAAGGGAGGCGTGAGGAGGTCCGGGAAACAAGCTAATGAAAAATAAGTAATGGAAAGATTGAGATGTTTTTAACCATTTTTATTTTGTATTTTCTTCTTTTTTTATTTTTTTTGTAATATTTTGAAAATCTTAATAAATATCTTATAAAAAACAAAAAACCAAGGACCCTTGATGCCCTACATGACCCGCCTATTCAACGACATCATAAAAGGGGGGCCCATCCCCCAAACCTGGACCCACTCCAAAATAGTCTCCATCCCAAAACCACTAAAAGACAGCCTCAAAGTAGAATCATACCACCCAATCTCATTAATAAACCAAGACTACAAGATATTCACACCAATCTTGGCCAACCGCCTAAAAATCTTCCTACACAAGTTAATAGCCCCAGACCAGACTGGCTTTGTTTCTGGCCGCAATATAACAGACCCCACCTGAAACTACTGAACCCGATCGAACACAGCAAGGCAACTAAACTCCCATTGACAATTATGTCCCTAGACATCCTCAAAGCCTTTGATTGCTTAGAGTGGAAATACATATTAGCAGTACTAACTAACATGAAATTTGGCCCCAACTTCCTACAAATCCTCAAACAAATATACTCCCAAACCTCAGCAAAATGCAGAACTAACAATACGGATTCTAATACTATAGCTATCCAAAGAGGCATGAAACAAGGATGCCCACTGTCTCCCTTCTTATTTATCCTGCCTCTGGAACCCTTAGCAATCCGAATCCGAGCAGCCACAGACATCAAGGGAGTGGAAATAAAAGGCAGAACCTATAAATTAGGGCTCTTTGCAGACGACCTAATGGTCACAACACCAGACCCCATAAGCACAGCAACCTCCCTAATCAGAGAACTCAACACATTTGCAATGGTGTCGGGCCTACAGGTAAATTTTACAAAGTCAGAAGTTAGAAGCTTCAACACCCCTCCTCACAGGTCACCAAAATAAAACTTTGCCACAGCAAGTTCAGATACCTAGGGGTACAAATAACCAGAAACCTCAATAAATTGTACCTCCACAACTACAAGCCCCTGTGGCAACAAATTAACAAAGAACTAAAGAGATGGAACAACATGAATTTCACTCTCTCAGACAAAATAGCCATGATCAAAATGATCACCCTCCCAAAACTAACCTACCTATTCCAAACCCTCCCAATCTGGATCCCCCCAACCCAACTCCGCAGTTGGCAGAGAAAACTACACTCTTTTATCTTCTCACATAATAAACCAAGGATAAGCCCCAAATACCTGCACCTCCCCACCTCAGAAGGAGGATGGGGAATCCCCAGCACAGAAGCATATTACATTGCCAACCAAAGACACCATATAAACCCATATATACTCAAAGGTGAGACAAAACAATGGGTACACGTAGAGAGGGGCACAATTGAGAATACCTGCACCACAGCATACCCACTCCTCCCAAACAAACTAAAGAAAATTCCCACAACACTTAACAGGTTCACACAGACCATGCTCAAAGCATGGAAAACAGAAATAGGCAAACTATCCCCAACCCCATCCCCACTAATGCCCCTGGCGTACCACCCATTATTCCACCATGCAGCACAAAACCTCCAGATAAAAACCTGGCAAACCAAAGGCTTATATCGCCTAATAGACTTTTATAAAAATAACAAAACTCTGTCAACACAAGAAATACAAGATAAACTAGAAGACACCAAATGCCCTAGTTAACACAACACCAACTACATGCCCTCTTAAACAACCCAACAGTAAAATCAGCAGCAACTAGGCCCCTGACAACCTTCGAAAACCTCCTCCTAACAACAAAGGGAAACGGTAAAGGGATGGTATCCGCAATATACAAAATACTACTCCAAAATCACACAAACCCCCTAGACGCAATCAAAAAACAATGGGAGAATGACATAGGCTATGAGATTAACCCCACTCAATGGACCAGAATGTGGTCTAACTCCCCCTTTAAATCTGTATCAACAAAAAAGAAAAGAACTCACACTGAAACTCACCTACAGGTGGTACCTAACACCAAGAAAACTAGCGCTAATACGCCCAGGAACCTCACCAAAATGCTGGAGAGGGTGCACCTCCACAGGCACATACCTCCACATGTGGTGGGAGTGCCCCAAAATCCAACTATTCTGGACAACAGCCATACAAGAAATATGTTTCAATGTCTGTACACTAATGCGCAAAGCATGGGAAATAAACAAGATGAGCTTGAGCTCTTGGTACAGCAAACTAAATATGACATAATAGGCATCACTGAAACCTGGTGGGATAAGTCCCACGATTGGAATGTAATAATGGAGGGATACAATCTATTTCAGAGAAACAGACCAGACAAGAAAGGAGGAGGAGTGGCGTTATATGTCAGGGATGTGTATACCTGTGAAGAGATCCAAGATTTAGAACCTCAAAGCCAAAGTGAGAGCATTTGGGTCAAAATTAAGGGAGAGAAGAATAACAGAGACCTCATTGTGGGAGTTTACTATAGATCCCCAAGCCAAACGGAGGACATAGATGATGCCTTCCTGGAACAGTTGGCCAAGCATGCAAAAGGAAGGGAGATAGTAGTAATGGGGGACTTCAATTACCTGGATATTTGTTGGATGTCAAACTCAGCCAAGAGCATAATGTCAAACAGATTCCTCACTGGCCTTGCAGACAACTTCATTGTCCAGAAAGTGGGAGAAGCAACAAGAGGAACAGCCATTTTAGATCTGGTCCTAACCAATGTTGATGACCTGGTTAGTGGGGTAGAAGTGGAAGGATCATTAGGCACGAGTGATCATGCTCTTCTGAAGTTTACTATACAGCGGAAAGGAGCAGCCAAGCATACTAGGACTCAATTTCTTGACTTTAAGAAAGCCGACTTCATAAAACTTAGGGAAGTGCTGGGTGAGATCCCATGGGCAGTAATACTAAAAGGAAAGGGAGTTCATGATGGCTGGGAGTTTGTTAAGAGGGAGATAGTAAAAGCACAACTTCAGGCAATACCAATGAGACGGAAACATGGAAGGTGCCTAAAGAAGCCAGGGTGGCTATCTAAAGAACTTTTAACTGAGTTAAGATTAAAAAAGGATGTGTACAAAAATGGAAAAGGGGGGAAACCACCAAAGAGGAATTCAAACAAATAGCCAGCACATGTAGATACAAAGTCAGAAAAGCTAAAGCACAGAATGAACTCAGGCTTGCTAGAGAGGTTAAAACCAACAAAAAGGCTTTTATGGGTATGTCCGTAGCAAAAGGAAGAACAAAGAAACAGTGGGGTCACTCAGACGAGAAGATGGTGAAATGCAAACAGGGGACACAGAAAGGGCTGAACTCCTCAATGCCTTCTTTGCCTCAGTCTTCTCTGATAAAGAAAACAATGTCCGACCTGAAGAATTTGGAGCAAATGATTCAGCAGAGGAAACACAGCCCAGAATAACTAAGGAGATAGTACAAGAATACTTGGCTAGTTTAGATGTATTCAAGTCTCCAGGGCCAGACAAACTGCATCCAAGAGTATTAAAAGAGCTGGCAGATGTGATCTCAGAACCACTGGCAGTCATCTTTGAGAATTCCTGGAGAACAGGCGAAGTTCCGGCAGACTAGAGGAGGGCAAATGTTGTCTCTATTTTCAAAAAGGGGGAAAGAGAGGACCCAAATAATTATCGCCCAGTCAGTCTGACATCAATACCAGGGAAGATTCTGGAGCAGATCTTTAAGCAAACAGACTGTGAGCACCTAGAAAGGAATGCTGTGATCACCAATAGTCAGCATGGATTTCTGAAAAATAAGTCATGTCAGACTAACCTGATCTCATTTTTTGACAGAATTACAAGCCTGGTAGATGAAGGGAACGCAGTGGATGTAGCCTACCTTGATTTCAGCAAGGCATTCGACAAGGTGCCCCATGATATTCTTGTAAAGAAGCTGGTAAAATGCGGTCTTGACTATGCTACCACTCAGTGGATTTGTAACTGGCTGACTGACCGAACCCAAAGGGTGCCCATCAATGGTTCCTCTTCATCCTGGAGAAGAGTGACTAGTGGGGTGCCACAGGGTTCTGTCTTGGGCCCGGTCTTATTCAACATCTTTATCAGCGACTTGGATGATGGACTCAAGGGCATCCTGATCAAATTTGCAGATGACACCAAACTGGGAAGGGTGGCTAACACCCCAGAGGACAGGATCACACTTCAAAACGACCTTGACAGATTAGAGAACTGGGCCAAAACAAACAAGATGAATTTTAACAGGGAGAAATGTAAAGTATTGCACTTGGGCAAAAAAATGAGAGGCACAAATACAAGATGGGTGACACCTGGCTTGAGAGCAGTACATGTGAAAAGGATCTAGGAGTCTTGGTTGACCACAAACTTGACATGAGCCAACAGTGTGACGCGGCAGCTAAAAAGCCAATGCAATTCTGGGCTGCATCAATAGCAGTATAGCATCTAGATCAAGGGAAGTAATAGTGCCACTGTATTCTGCTCTGGTCAGACCTCACCTGGAGTACTGTGTCCAGTTCTGGGCACCACAGTTCAAGAAGGACACTGACAAACTGGAACGTGTCCAGAGGAGGGCAACCAAAATGGTCAAAGGTCTGGAAACGATGCCTTATGAGGAACGGCTAAGGGAGCTGGGCATGTTTAGCCTGGAGAAGAGGAGGTTAAGGGGTGACATGATAGCCATGTTCAAATATATAAAAGTATGTCATATGGAGGAGGGAGAAAGGTTGTTTTCTGCTGCTCCAGAGAAGCGGACACGGAGCAATGGATCCAAACTACAAGAAAGAAGATTCCACCTAAACATTAGGAAGAACCTCCTGACAGTAAGAGCTGTTCGACAGTGGAATTTGCTGCCAAGGAGTGTGGTGGAGTCTCCTTCTTTGGAGGTCTTTAAGCAGAGGCTTGACAACCATATGTCAGGAGTGCTCTGATTGTGTTTCCTGCTTGGCAGGGGGTTGGACTCGATGGCCCTTTTGGTCTATTCCAACTCTATGATTCTATGATTCTATGTAAAATAACAAAGCAAGTATTAGACACCACCCCAGAATTGAACCTACTAAACATCTTCCAAGACAACAATGCCCATTTACACCACAAAGAACTCATAACCCACCTACTTTCAGCAGCCAGAAACACCATAACCAGACACTGGAGAGACCTGTAAGGAGTAAGCATGGACCAATGGTACCAAATAGTATGGCAAACAGCCTTACTAGAAAAATTAACCAATAAACTGAAACTGACACGGGGACAAACAGAAGAAGACGCCTTTATCCCGGTATGCCTCCCCTTTATCACATACACAGCCCTACAAGACAATGACAATAACCCACCAAAAGCATACAAATCAATATGGCTAACCTGATCCAAAACACCCACCCACCCCACTCACACACCAAAACAAAGATCACCACAGCCAATCACAAACAACCACACCATAGGCCAACCCCAACCTCTCTCACCACCAAAGAAACACAAATGAACAGCAGAGAACCGGCACCAGCAACGCTGACACGAAACCCTACATACATTAAGCAAAATAGAAACATCGCCACACGACCCCACCCCCACCCATCTTTCACCCCTCCACCCCCTCCACCCCACTAATATCTCAACAAATGAAACTGATTTGTAAAAATGTTACATGGAAAAAATACAAGAGACATTACACATACTTCTGTAAAACAAGAAAATCTTTAATTAAAAAAAAAGAAGTTGCACACCAAAAAAAATAAAAATAAAGAAGATCAGGGAAGAAGATTATATATTTTGTGTTCTCATGTTGTACTTTTATGTTCTGAACTGCCTGTGATCTGCTAATGAAGGGTGGTATACAAATTACATAATAACAATTAAATAATCCCAATTACACTCAAATTTCTGGAAGGATTTTCTGAGAACCTCACAGAATAGCCTCTTCTTGGATTGTCTGGGTGGAGCTACTGATGGGAAACATATCTCACCGTAGTCTCCCAGGATGCTATATAAGCAGGCCTGGTGGCCCACATGCCATTCACACTGAATCCTAAAATGTGGGCCAAGATCTTCTTACCATTTGTGGGACTCCTTTGCGGGGCCAGCCTGCCACTGACTTCTTCCCAGGCTGATACAGGTGAGTTTGCTTCTCTTTCCATCCTCTATGCAGCCTTCTCATGCATCTACCTGAAATCTGAGCATCTGGAACCACCCTTAGAAACAGAGCAATAACAACCCTTGGATTCTCTTCCTCCAACTTTTCTGCTTATTAGCCAGCAGTAAACGGGATAGTCATTCCAAAGGGACAGATCCCATGGTTCCAAAACAAATACCCTTTTATTAACATTTGTAAGTGCCTGTTTCTGTGCGCTGAGATCTTTGTAGGTTTAGGGGACAGCAGAGACATTCTTCTGATAGGGGCAAAGAAGGCAGGGCTCTCACAAACTATGTAGCTGAAATTATTTAGCTGAGATTCCTGCATTACAGGGGGAGGTTATATCAGGGAGGCTCTATCTATACAGGGAACGCAGCTATCATCAAGCCTTGATTGAAGAATGTTACAGTCCTATCTGGGATCAATGGGGTGACAGAGTGACAGATGTCTCAGTCGGATCACCCTCACATCTGTCTTCAGACGTCTCCTGGGGCTCCCAAGTTCAATTATGTATGAGACAAGGTGTGCAGAACTAGGTATACACACGGTGGAATATTGGGTGTGGGCTAGCACTATAAAATACTGGTTGCATTTCCATTTTGTTGCCAACATTTGAGTCTACTCTCTGACCTACTTACGGACTCTGATAAATCCAGGAGTTCCAACTCTTACATAGGAAAATCAGATCTATTGGTATTGACTTGGAACCCTCATATAATTCGAGTGAGCAATATTTATTGCAATAGTCAAACCAGATTAAGGTACATTGGGGGGGAAAACAACAAGTCAGGTGTAAAAAAAAATTTGCTCCCCCGAGATAACAGGGTCACATATCTCAAAAATAATAAATTCTGTCCAACTCGGGACCTTTATCTTAGCCCGACTGAATGTTTTCCCTTCAGCTTTTGTCAAGGGCAGATTTTTAAATATCCCCAGAAATGATAGACATTGTGGATGTTCTTTGAATGTGACGGACACTGTAGAACATATCCTTTTCTAATGTCCATTTTACAACCTGCCACGCAAGCGCATGCTACCCCCCCCCTTTTTGGGCACAATGAAAATATCTGATTAACCTGGAATTAACTGCATGGGGGGGCTGAGGTTTTGTTAATAGTATCTCTTGGAGTGCTAAATGGCACTATTTAGCGGGAAGAAATCCCAGTGAAATTCCTCATCATTATATATTCTACATGGCTGCTTATTTGTATATATTTTAAATGTTTTAGAATGCCCTATATTTGTAATGCCTAGAAAGGTTTTGATGAAGTAAGTAAGTAAGCATTACAGGGGGTTGGACTAGATGAGCATTGGTGTCCCTTCCAATTCTAGAATTCTATGATTCCATGAAAAGAGAATATGCATGGGAAAGAGGGTCGGAGAGAAGGAAAATCACAGGGGTGTAGAGAAGAACAGATGGCAGACAAAAGCAAGACTGGAAGGAGTGAGATGAAAAGCAGAGGTTTTAACCTACGGCATTTATTCATTTGCTGATTTTTAAATCATTTCTTAGCTGCTTAAATCTTAAACAGTGCACTAAGTAACATAAAAACTGTAAAGCAATATCAGAAAAACCATAAAAACAGTAATATAAAGTCATTAAAAAACCAGGAATTTCATCTGTCTGTCTGTCTGTCTGTCTATCTATTTTGTTCCCTTAGGTGTAATATTGATGTGCACTGCCTCTGGCTCTGTTCCCGAAGGCATGATGATTACGTGGCAGGCAGGTGGCCAATCAGGTAACACCACCGACACCCGAAGTGCACGCACTGGTAGCACAGCATATCTCAGCATTGCAGAAGTAGCCATTGCAGCGGTGAACGACTTCATCTGTCGAGTAACCTTTGAAGCGTTCCAAACAAATGTCAATGAACCTGAAGGTAAAAACTCTTGACACAGTTGGGACTTAGTTTTCCTTTGAAAAGCATGGTTTGGGAGCAGGATGATTGTTTCCAGATTGCTTAAGATCCTCTCAGGGACTGACCATTTCAAGACTGCTTCCTCCTTAATTCAGAAATTTATTTCTGCTTTCCATTATGGCCTGTTGAGATAAGACTTTCCCCACCAGTTGCCATGATATCAGTGCTAGTATTGGCTAAAGACACAACTTGAAACTGCAATCAGTCCGGTCGAGGTCTGAATAGCAATTCTCCTCTTATCTCTGCAGAAAGGTTTTCACCGTTCTTGAACAATACTAAATGCATGTTTTTATCAGAAGGTAACAATGGGAGAAGGAAAGGAAAGAATGTGTACCCTGCAGGGGTCAAGGTGTCTCCCACAATAATTTCCACCCCCGTTAAAAACCATTCCTACCTCCAGCCAAGGATCCTTCTAAGCTTCATCTACGTGTTGATCATGTTTACCCAGCATAGGGTGACCTAGATGAACAGATGGTGCCCTTCTATTGGAGGCAGATTTTTATATTCTTGCCCTGGTGGCCAAGTCCACACATTTAAGGAGCTCCATACCTAGTTAGCTGCTCCAGGAGCAACTGTGCAGAGATGGTATCATTGGATATGGGAAGTTTTTAGCTATCCTTGGTTTTCAAACCCAGCCTATACACCAATACCTTCTCTGGGAAGGCTGGGGTGCTTTTTGTGCTGGGCGCTTTCTTTATACATGTTGGGGAAAGGAGCTGTGTAAATATTCCTGGAATCTCCACTGTCCCACCGTGTCCTCATCTAGCTCAAGGAAGCCCCATGCATGTGCCACAGATCTTCCTTCTCAGGTCCACACACACAAGAACTTCAGTTAAATCCCCTTTGCTCCTTAAAGCTTTCATTAAGGATTTACACCCTCTATCTACAGATTAAAAATGTTTGTCAGAGAATCCAGCAGAAAATAATCAACACTAAATGGTGTCATAAATGTTTTCCATCAAGTATGTCTAAAATTAATAGCTGTTGCCTCTCTCTTTCTCTCATACTTTCCCCACACCAAAACTTAAAAGACAAAGGGAACGGTCTCCATGAGAACCTCTATCGCGCCAACCATAAAGAAAGCAGCCTTCAGCGAGCACAGACAATCCTCACCAGCATGGTCATAGGGCTCAATGCAAGTGAAGTTTCTGTCCAGTGGGTGAAGAATGCCCTCCTTGAAGGTCGCCATGTGAATCCCCGAGTCTTGAAGGGCAGCATCAAGGATTCCCTCTTGGCCCTCAGCCAGGTGGTAGTCCCCTACTCTGACTGGAACAACGGCACTTCATACTCCTGTACGTTTACCCGCACAGCAGGCACCGTGGAGCCCACCCAGAGGCCTGAGGAGAAATCCCAGGGTGAAAAGTGATGCAAACCCCATCCTCAGCATCACAACCTCTTCAGCCTATCCCAGATTAAATAATTTTCATGTATCCATGTTTGGCCTAAGGCTGAATAAAAGGGAGCAAACTCACAGATATCTCATGATGTGATCACTTGATTGAGATGGTGGGTGGGTTCTGCAAAGAAGTGGGGAATGGATTAATCTCCCTGCAAAATCGTGTTGAAGTTTGATTATTGTAGAAGCAAAGTGTGTTTAGCACATAACCATGAAGTTCACTGGGGGGAGGGGGCTTTTGGCTAGTCACTGTCTCTTAGCCTATCCTTCCTCACCAGGGTTTAGACTCTCCCCGAGCACAGATTTTTGTGTCTCTCCCCCCCCCCCCCAGCAGAGCTTGTCCTATAAAAAGAAAGGTGAATGGAGTGACAACAATTCATTTTGCTGACCAGGGTCTTCTGGCTGTTGATCATGTTTACCCAGCATCAGTTGACCTCAATGAACAGGTGGTGCAGTTCTGTTGGAGGCAGATTTTCATATCCTGGCCCTGGTGGTCCAGTCCACACATTAAGGAGCTGCGTAGCTAGCTGAGATTCCTGCTTTGCAGGGAGTTGGACTAGGTGACCCTTGGGACCCTTCCAACTCAATAATTCCACGATTCAAGGAAAAGAAAATATGCATGGGAAAGAGGGTCAGAGAGAAGGCAAATCACAGGGGTGTAGAGACGAACGAATGGCAGACAAAAGCAAGAATTGAAGGACTGAGATGGAAAGGAGAGGTTTGAATCCAAGGCATTTATTCATTCATTGATTTTAAAATCATTTCTAAGCTGCTTTATATTTAAAAATAACACACTTAAGGAGTGCAAAAAGACAATGTGCTGCTGCCGTGAAGAATGTATGAAAAATACAGAAGGTAGGCAAACCCTTCAGAATAACCCTGTCAAGAATTGCTGTGTTCATCAGAATGTCATCATAGCCCTTTCTAGATGCTCCTGCTTGTCCTTCTTTCCAGATACCCATTTCCTAAATGCTGCCTGTCCATCGGGTATGTCTAACTCTAATAACTGTTGCCTCTCCTTTTGTCTCATACTAACTCCCACTGGAAACTTAAAAAGACAAGGCGAATGGTCCCCATGCCAATTTCTATTGCACTGCGAAGAAACCAGCCTTCAGCAAGCACAGACAATGCTCACAGGCTTGTCACAGGCCTCAAAACAAGTGAAGTTTCTGTTCTGTGGATTAATAATAATAATAATTTATACCCCACCCATTAGGCTGGGCTTCCCCAGCCATTCTGGGCAGCTCCCAACAGAATTAAAAGTACAATAAAACATCAAACATTAAAAACCTCCCTAAACAGGGATGCTTTCAAATGTCTTCGAAAAGTCAGATATTTGTTTATTTCCTTGACATCTGATGGGAGGGCGTTCCACAGGGCGGGTGCCACTACTGAGAAGGCCCTCTGTCAAGTTCCCTCATTGAGGGTCAGCATGTGAACACCCAAGTATTGAAGGACAGCAGCAAGGTTTCCCTCTTGGCCTTCAGCCAGGTGATAGTTTCCTACTCTGACTGAATCAATGACACCATGAAGCTCACCCAGAGGCCTGAGGAGAAATCCCAGAGTGAAAAATGATGCACACCCCTTCCTCAGCATCGCAAGCTCTCCAGCCTATACTACAACTTTCTCTTCAGCCTATCTCGGATTCAATTATTTCCATGCTTCATCTATAGATAAATAAAATCTCAATATCTCTCAGCTTAATGTACATCACAGGGGTTCTGTAATGATAATATAGAGAGGCGTAGTAGTGTGTATGCTAACTTCAGCTCTTTGGAGAAACGGTGGGATACAAATCAACACCAGATGAAGCATATTCTACTGTATCTATCCCATCTGGGGGCAAATTTCTGGTGCATGGGGCATGGGCCCCCTGTCACTTTTTAGATTAGCAAATGGAATGTCCTGTATTCTTCTTATTCTGCCATAGTATGATAGAAAGCTTATGCCATTCATATATAATATTAAAAGGGTAGTTGCAAAATGCCGCCCTTGAACATGTTGATTTCTGTTCCTTCCTGGAGTGCAGTTCCTATGGGGATCTCTTAGCCACCTGCCCCTTATTATTATAATGCTGCAAGGAACAGTGGAGAGTCATTATCAGATCTCAAAAAAGGAATTAACAGATTTGCTTTGGGGGTGGGTTGAGGAACAGCACTCAAATGGTAAAGGGCTAATCACTGGTCTCCTAGGATCATGGAAGCCCCTATAATTTGTTCTAACTGCCCAAAGCTCCAAAGACTTGCCAGAGGTTACTAGAAAATGATCAACCAGTAAACCTGAAAATTGATATAAATACGCCCCCAAGCAATGGACACCCGAGAGTAGGTGAAAAGGCGGGCAGGGCTCTGTCACTTTCCTTTCATACGTTTCCCCTTTTATTCCACCTTACATCAGCTAACCTTGCTAGCACTTAAGGCATGCATTGGTGTCTCAGTCAAAGACATAGCTGATGTATTTCTCTTAAGAGATGTGTTAGCAGAATTAGCCACCAACCTATGTAGACTGTTAAGTCTGGTAGTTTCTGTACAGAGGAGATTCTCAATCTAGAGGGATGCTTTGCTGACTAGATGTTGTGGCTTCTGATAGCTCTACCTCTGTTGCTTCCTATGGGGTACAAAGTAGATACTCTGGAGTGTCCCAGAAATGATCCCCACCCTGTCCCACATGAGTGGTTCCAGCCAGGAGCTCTCTTCATTGGTGGAATTGCTTCTCAGTTAGTTTACCATTCTCATGAAGTTTCATTCAGTGAACATCCTTCTCAGAACCAGCTTGATGTTCCAGAGTAAGAAATTGCTTCGTTTGCTCTGCATCTTTTGTAGCTGCTCAGATCACAAATATATTTTTTTCTGTAAATGGCAGAATGTTAAGAGTGTGTTTTCGTGTGTGTGTGTGTGTGTGTGTCCCCGTCTGTGTGTGTGTGTAGGTTTGGCCAATACCCCCCATAGAATCTATTAGAAATTACCAATATTGTGATATGATAGCAGTAAACATACTCGTTATACAAAGGGATGAACAAATTCTACCTCTATATGCAGAATGGTGACAAAATTCTACCAGCACATCCTTGCTTTGGCATTTGCTGTGAACGAAATCAATGAGAATCCGAAGTTACTACCCAATGTCACACTTGGATTCCATATCTATGATAGCTACTACGATGCAAGGATGACTTATCGTACCACTTTGGGTGTGCTCTTCAAAACAGATAAATTTGTTCCCAACTACCAGTGTGACCGACACAAAAAGCTCATGGCTATCATTGGCGGACTTGGCTCTGATACCTCTAATCTTATAGCAGATATTATAGGTTCCTATAAGGTTCCACAGGTAGGAATTCTCCCTGTACACATGAGATTGTGTGTGAGAGTGATGTAGGCGCTTCTTTCTTATGCGGAACTTGATTTTGTAGTTTCATGTTATTTTATTTATTCTTCCCTTATTACTTAACATTTATTTTTTGGCTCTTAGTTAACTGTGGCCTCCTTGAGTGCGTGTGGTGTTTTAAGCTTGCCTTTTAAAAATAGGGTTGTCTTTTAGATTTTTTATTTGTTTTTGTGTGTGCTGGTTTTTGTTTATACAGTAAAATGTAAGTCATTTGAGTTATGTTGGTAATGAAGCGACCGATAAAACAACAACAACAACAACAGAGATGAGGGCAGTGTTGGGGAGCTTGGAACAGGAGGGGGCTCAGAGTTTGGTGAGGGCAAGGGTAATGGGACAATCAAGATTTTAAACAGAGTGTTGCCCCAGTGAAACAATCCAAATTGTACCCAGGATGGTGTGAGAGACTGTACTGTGTAGAGTTTGGGGTGTCAGACTAACAGGGCCTAAGAAACCCAAGTTCAAATCTGTACTTGGCCATAAAAATCTCATTGGGTGACCTTGGGGGACAGTCACTGCCTCTCAGCCAGTATACATGAAGGAGTGTCTCCACCCCCATTGTTCTGCCCGGACGCTGAGGTCCAGTGCTGAGGGCCTTCTGGCGGTTCCCTCGCTGCGAGAAGCCAAGTTACAGGGAACCAGGCACAGGGCCTTCTCGGTAGTGGCACCTGCCCTGTGGAATGCCCTCCCACCAGATGTCAAAAAGAAAAACAACTATCAAACTTTTAGAAGACATCTGAAGGCAGCCCTGTTTAGGGAAGCTTTTAATGTTTAATAGACTATTGTATTTTAATATTCTGTTGGAAGCCGCCCAGAGTGGCTGGGGAAACCCAGCCAGATGGGTGGGGTATAAATAAATTATTATTATTATTATTATTAGCCTACCTCACAGGGTTGTTGTGGGGATTAAATGCAGGGAGAACCATAAACGCCACCTTGAGCAGCTTGGAGAAAAAAATATCTCATTGGAGATAGAGATGCAATCAATCAATTCTCTTCTCTCCTGCCCAACATTTTGCTAATGAACATTTGGTACAAATGTTATGCATGCTTTAGTTGTGATTCCTGCATTGCAGGGGTTGGACTAGATGACCCTTGTGGATCGCTTCTAACTCTACAATTCTATGATTTTATGATGATGAAATTGTATGCTTTATATACTTGGGACATTCAATCAGATGTGCTAAATTTAGCTCTAAGCTCCTAACAACTGTTTATATATATAATTGTTATATAATCAGGAATATAAAGGCATTCCTAACTTTGCCCTGCAATATCTGCACATTATTATTTTTTCCAGCTCACATATGGCTCATTTGCCCCACAGGGGAATCGTATCACTCAAGGGCCATCCTTTTATTGTCTGGTCCCAAATGAAACCCAGCAGTATATGGGGCTTATCCTGTTACTCCAGTATTTCAAATGGACATGGGTTGGAATCCTTATAGATGATGATAACAGTGGAGAACATTTCTTGCAGACACTGGATCCATTGTTTTATCAGTATGGGATCTGTTCAGCATTCACTCAAAGAATCCCACGCATAAGCCATTGGGATAACTTCGAGAAACTTATTGATAAAGCCA